CCCCCACGTGACATAACTCCTCCCCCCCGTGACGTCACATCCGAAGGTCGTTTACGCCCCGCATTACACAAGTGACGCTGACTAGCGCGGTTAGGACACGACCCAAGCAGGGACCCCCCTGGACCCTCGTCCCTCTGACTCCCAGCAGGGCCGTGAGAAATCGTGAGTACAGAAGAGGGGTGGTGAGGGATAGCGTGAGGGCTCCCTGAGGGCTTAGTGGGGAATTGCATGGGGGCTCCCTGAGGGCTTAGTGGGGGATAGCGTGGGGGTTCCCCGAGGGCTTAGTGGGGAATTGCGTGGGGGCTCCCCGAGGGCTTCATTCGAGATAGGTGAAAAGGGTTGAGAACAGCCAGGTAGGACGCTGCTCGATGGGTGGTTTTGACTTCGGGCCACGTGGAGTTTTTGTATAGTCGACGCCGCGTGATTTATGTAGGTATTATTTTCTCTTTATACGTGACTTTACCGAAAGAACCAAAGAGTAATTCCTGCAGTCAAGAAAGCTCCAAAATTAAGTATGTGGAGAGAGAGTCTGGGCGCGGTGTAGGTGCGCGCCTACATGTGATGATCGGCGGCGAATTCAATCGTAAACGCTCGGGGATTAACGCACGTGTATTGTCATCATAGTGCGCCGTGATACTGGGAATTAACGTGCGGATCTTACCATCATTAATTCGCCATTGCACGTGGTGCTTGTGCCGTTGCGTTTGTGTGTGGAGCTGCGCCGAGTGGTACACGGGTACGCACGTGCTTATTCATACGGCTATTTTAGTGCTTACACGGGGTGGGCAATGAAGACGGGTGACTGTGCGTACACGCGGTGGGCAGCAGGTCCGGGTGTGTGCGCGTCCGCAGCCCCCGCAGGGTGAGTGCTGGTTTACGCGGAGGGGGAGCAGATTAACGTGAGGCGGTAGAGGGCCAGCCACGAGCCATGTTACACAGAGAGGAAGCTGGTGCAGGGAGGCCGATGACTCGATTGGCGGCAGCCCCGGTGTGAAGAAGAGGAGGTCGAAGGGGGAGAGAAGGAGGGGGGCATCAGCCCCCCACAGGAGCACCCCCTGATGCTTCGGCAGCGTCCCGAACACAAACGAGACTGGGAATCGTGAAAGTTAATTAATCACAAGCCTTGGCTTGAAAAGTTGGAATGTTTGGATTAACCACCACCGTGTAGGAATATTTTCCAACATTACGGTATTAAACATCAGCTTGATGATGCAGCTCAGGAGCAAAAGGTTTTTCTAATGACGATTTGGCATATTTGTGGAGTGACATCACGGATGTTACTGTGTAATGCCGCCCTAGAGAGGCACGGCGTGCGACGATGTATTGACATCGCGGTCACCACTTACATGTGAGTGCAGTACCGGCCCTAGTGGGGCTCGGTGAGCGCTGACTGACAGCGCTGGATGGTGCCACGCTCTGCGTGCAGTGCCGGCCCCTACAACTACAAGATAGGGGGTGAGAGTGCCGGCCACGGGAATGGGGTTACTAAAGGCCGTGGCACTCTGTTTGACCCCGGAGGACACGTGACCAGTTGAGTTTACACGGGGGCCCCAAGTGGGGGCTAGGGGTGGTCACGTGTCAGGGTCGACATCCTGCTCGAGGATTCTAGAATGTGGTCGTGACTCAGGGCGGAGCCAGCCACGCCGCAGAGGATATAAGCCGGGTCCCCGAGAGAGACCAGCTGCTGTTGTTCATCCTGAAGAATCTACGTTCTACGTTCTACAGAGTCACCAAGACGTGGACTGGGACCCAAGCTGTGGTCCGTTCCATTGTAGCTTATTATTGTGTAATTCGTGTAGTTAGCCTGGTGGTCCACCACCATTGGTTGTTATCTTGTTAAGAAGCTGTTACCCCTTGTGTTGGTGTTAATAAATGTGTTGCCTCCAAAGAGTACGTCTGCGACCCAGTTGAACTCACTACATTTGTATTAACAATGACTGTCACGCGCCTTTGTCTTCCCAATGGCAATCTTAACATGCCAGCCAGGTATTCATATTTAGACTGAGTCAACCTAAGGAGGGAATCAAAACCAGAGTAGATAACCGCGACTGTTTTTATTAAGGGAGAATCTAACTCGGTAAACCAGTCACTGCAGAAAGGACACAAATATAAAACCCAGAGAGAGAGAGATGGGGGAAAGGAGGTCATTCGCATGCCACATGGATAATATACATGCCATTTCACAAAAAACACATGGCCACAAATACACACCACTCCCGGGGCTCAGCATCGACGAGTCAAAAATACATTCCAATGGGCAATTAAGAACATCTGCGTCCACACAAAGCCTTGGGATGACCTCCGGAGGACGGGGAGAAGTATGGCCGAGGTGACAACCACTGGCATCAGGACATGCCCCTCTCAGTGAGGACACACCACCACAGTGAGTAAATCTGGCTCTAATACAAGCCAGTGCCTCCCCAGCCATTGACCTCACAGCACGTTACTGCTAAATATCACCACTAAGGGAGATGAAGGCGGTTGGGCGTGGTGCTGCTGGCCACCCACCCCCTCGTGTGCCACAGTGCCGGCCTTCATAGGCGCTGCTACTTCTCGCTACTAACAGCCACTTGCCCCCGGCAGTCTGTTACAGGCTACGCGGGGGATTTTTGTCTTTCTTGTTTGTGCGCGCGCGTGTTGACTGTGACGTCACACGTGGGAGGTCTGGACCAAGTGGGAAATGGAGGAGCACGTGACTCGAGTAACGTTTAAAAGGGGAGACGGGGGAGAGGATTCCAGTGACTCGGTGAGCAACGCTGAGCACCGACAACCTGCGATTAGCAGGACGCTCAGCTGCTACGTACGGTGGTGTGAAAGAAAATTCAACTTACCGTACGTATAAAGACTCACACAGAGATCCATAGGCTCAGCACACCAGACCCTAAGACTAATCACACACAGACCCATAGACTCACACAGAAACCCATAGACTCACACAGAGCCCCATAGACTCACACAGAGACCATAGACTCACACAGAGACCCATAGATTCAGAGACCCATAGATTGTTGTCCTTCCCCCACACATCCAATTCGCATTGTTGTCTATGTACGACACCAAACAAGTTCAACATACATTCGAGTGGCCTGCAAATGTGCAATCTACCTCCTGCGCTCGCGCCGCACAAACGCAAAACAACCAAGACACATAGACCCATATATTACTCACATAATTCCATAGACTTACAACACGACCCATAGACTCACATAGAGACGAGTACTCACACAGACCCACAGACACACACATAGATCCACAGACTCACACAGGCACCCGGAGACTGAAACATATACCCACATACTCAAACATAAATCCATAGACCCATACAGAGACCCATATACTCAGCGCATAGACTCCTCACGCAGAGACTCACAGACTCACACAGAGACCCATAGACTCATAAAATACCCATACACTCACAAAGAGACCCGTAAACTCACACAGAGATGAGTAGACTCACACGCAGACCCACAGATTCACACAGAGACGTAGACTCAGACATAGACCCTCATACTCATACATAACCCTCGGACACTCATAGACCCATAGACTGGCACAGAGATCCATAGACTCACACAGAGATCCATCGACTCACGCCGAGACCCGTATATTCAAACAGATACCTATAGACGCATCACACAGCCTCATAGACTCCGACAGAGATCCATAGACTTATCACATATAGACCCACAGGCTCACATATAGACCCCCAAACTCACACAAGGACCCGTAGATGCACACATAGACCCATATACTCAAACATAGACCCATATACTCACACAGAGACCCATATACTCACAAAGAGACCCGTAAACTCACACAGAGATCCATAGACTCACACAGAGAACCACAGATGCACAGAGACGCAATGACTTAAATAGATGCCCATAGATCACACAGAAACCCATAGTCTCACGCAGACTCATAAACACACCCATAAACCGATAGACCCTCACATGTATCAATATAGGTCTCCATGCGTCTCTCTCCATCTCTATGTATCTCTATGTTTGGCTGCTACTATAATTGTTCGCGTGATGTTGACGATGATGATAGGCCACTTCGTCGAGCCGCCATTATTTGTGATGGAGAGGTCTCTTCTGATAGTAAGTGAATAGTTCAGTCGGGGTTTTACCTGGGAAGATAACAACTAGTATAGATGTTTTTTTTTATTTAAAGCTTTCGTGACTGCAGGGATTCATCTTCTTGGTTCTTTCGGTAAAGTCACGTAGAAGGGAAATAATAAAATAATACAACTTAAACATCATAAAATAATATTATAATACAAGATGTTTTTTATTATTTTATTATTTCCCTTCTTCGTGACTTTACCGAAAGAACCAAGAAGATAGATGTTTTTGTTTATATTGTTTTACGTGATTTGTTTACCTTTCCTATACTTCGCCCTCCTATCGCGTTTGTGCATCGTGTCGTTTGTTGTTGCAACGTTCTGACTTCGTGGCCTCCTTACCGGAGCATCTGTGACGAGAAAAGAGTTTCACAGCTCATCGGATTCCTCCTGCAGAGTCTACACGACACGCTGGTTCTGGCTGCTGTCTCCCCGCTTGTCTCTGATTCTTCCTCGTCAGGTTCGATCGCCGGGCCCCTGACGATGCCTGCTGCTCTTTTTTTGGAGTTTGTGTCAATCTCTCTCTGTCTCTCCCTGTGAAGATGTTAATTACCTCGCCTGGTATATAGGAGGTCGTGGGTTCGATTGCCACCCTGATGTCTGCTGTATATTTCGTGTCGCTCTGTGGTCGCGTGTATTTTCCTCCGGGTCCTCCGGTTTTTCTCATTCACATTTAAAATCAACATCACCACGTGTTTAGAGCTTTGATATAAATTTCCACGTGACACTGATAAGCCTACTTCATTGAAATATAATTTGTGATGGGCAGGGCTATCATTTGTTCCTTACTTGGTAAAATAAACTAAAAGTTAGTGTCTAAATCCTACCTGTATACCAGGCGAGCTAGTTAACATCTCGCCACTGCTGTCCCCAGATGTCCATCTCGGCCCTGCTGCCACTGCTGCTGCTGGGGGTGGTGGTGGTGGTGGGAGCCCAGCAGGAGAAGACCGTCTGCGCGGGCATCAACGGGATCCCCGGGCAGCACGGGACCCCTGGGGCCCCCGGGAGGGACGGCAGAGACGGTGAGGAGTCGGGTCCCAGAGACCCCCCCACGGTGCGCTCGTGGGGATCGACGCGATCACTCGTTAGCTCACTCGATCACTCGCTCGTTCACTCACTCAATCGTTCACTCACTCATTAACTCACTCGTTCATTCACTCGTTCACTCACTCAAACGTTCACTCACCATGTCATGCCCTCGATCGTCCACTCGCTCATTCGCGTAGGAGAGTGTCTCGTGTGGAGTAGAGTGAGATGAGAGGGGAGAGGCAGGAGAGTGAGTGGAGGGGAGTAGAGTGAGATGAGATGGGAGAGGCAGGAGAGTGAGTGGAGGCGAGTGGAGTGAGATGAGAGGGGAGAGGCAGGAGAGTGAGTGGAGGGGAGTAGAATGAGATGATAGGGGAGAGACAGGAGAGTGCGTTGAAGGGAGACGAGTGAGATGAGAGTGGAGAGGCAGGAGAGTGCGTGGAGGGGAGTTGAGTGAGATGAGAGTGGAGAGGCAGGAGAATGCGTGGAAAGGAGTGGAGTGAGATGAGAGGGGAGAAGTAGAAGAGTGCGTGGAGGGGAGTCGAGTGAGATGAGAGTGGAGAGACAGGAGAGTGCGTGGAGGGGAGTTGAGTGAGATGAGAGTGGAGAGGCAGGAGAGTGCGTGGAGAGGAGTGGAGTGAGATGAGAGGGGAGTGGCAGTAGAGTGAGTGGAGGGGAGTGGAGTGAGATGAGAGGGGAGAGGCAGGAGAGTGCGTGGAGGGGAGTGGAGTGAGATGAGAGGGGAGACTCAGGAGAGTGAGTGGAGGGGAGTGGAGTGAGATGAGAGTGGAAAGGCAGGAGAGTGAGTGGAGGGGAGCAGAATGAGATGAGAGGGGAGAAGCAGGAGAGTGCGTGGAGGGGAGTGGAGTGAGATGAGAGGGGAGAGGCAGGAGAGTGCGTGGAGGGGAGTGGAGTGAGTTTGGAGGGGAGAGGCAGGAGAATGCGTGGAGGAGAGTAGAGTAAGATGAGAGGGGAGAGGCAGGAGAGTGCGTGGAGGCGAGTGGAGTGAATTGAGAGTGGCTTGAGGAGCGGACGAGACATTCTTTGTTCTTCTCGCAGGCGTTACCGGCGCACCTGGAGCCAATGGAGACCTCGGGGCTCGAGGCTTGACTGGGTACCCAGGTGGGACTGTAACACTGACTCATGTGCCCCGAGCAGCTGATTCCATATATTTATTGTATTACCAAGTAAGGCTCACTGAGCTATGTGACTCTTGTTCAGAAGCGACCTGGCCACATATAATGATTGCTCGACGAAGTGGGCTTATCATCACGTGGACATTTATTCAGCCAAATACATGTCTACATGTGGAGGGAAAAAATCGGAGGACATATTGAAAAATCCACGCAACCACGGGGAGAGACGCATGCAAACTCCAAATAAACAGCAGGCGTCAGGATTGCGAACGAGCACAGGACCTCCTGTAAACCAGGCGAGGTAGTTAACATCTCGCCACCGACAGGCTGCATGTGCCACGGAGTGATGTATCACTTCTCTTATACTGATAGGAACCTCCTGGTTCCATCAGCCCACAGGGGATTATTGTGTCCGTCCGTCCGTCGTGCATCCAAAAATGGGAGGGGTGGGGCTGGGTGGAGAGGGGAGGGTGGGGAGGGGCTGGGTTCGGAGGGAGGGGCTGGGTGGGGAGAGGAGGGTGGGGAGGGACTGGGTGGGGAGGGTGGGGAGGGGCTTGGTGGGGAGGTTAGGGAGAGGCTGGGTGGGGAGGGTGGGGCTGGGTGGGGGTGGGAGGGGTGGTGTTGGTTGGGGAGGGGCTGGTCACCCCGTGGTGCCCTTATAAAACTCAACGTTTAACCTACTCACGCGGGCTTGTGCCCGCCCTCACAGTCGGGCATATTTGCGGAATACACCACGCCGCCGTTGTCCCTGGCCATTGACCGAGCAACCCAACGTTCCTACCAGCTCCCTCCGCAGCAGGAATGTGTTTCTTTTTAAGTTTAAAGACACCAGAAGCCTAAAGCAACACAATATAATCGAGGTAGGAAATAACCGAGCTCACTGCTCTATTTATTTCACTGCGGTTGTTAGACGTTGTTAACTCCCTCGTCTGGTACACAGGAGGTCGTAGGTATGAACCCAACCCTGATGATGCCTGATGTATATTCGGCGTTTGCATGTTTTCCCCGTGGTCGTGTGGATTTTTCTCCGGGTCCTCTGGTTTTCCCCTCCACGTTTAGACTTTAGAGTATTTGGCTGCTATAAATGTCCGCATGATGATATCAGCCAATTCATTTAGCTGTCATTTTCGACAGGCAGGTGGCTTCTGAAAAAAAGTAGCAACACAGACTCTCAGAGGACCTTACACCTGGGAATTTAACAAATAGTTTAGTTCATAGTTTAGTCTATGGGTCTCTATGTATCTCCAAATCCTGGAAAACAGAGCTCACTAGGTATACTGTGTAGAGCTGAAACACGCGTTCCATACACCCACGTCGGGTAAGGTTTTCCTGTTACAAAACAAAGACGTTTGTCACAGGACACGACTCAATTGTGCAGGTTTGGCTCAACCTTATCAGCATTGATGCAGAATTGCCCCATCTCTCCGTTTGAGACTTGGGATAAACAAACAAAACACAAAGATCCCCCGTATATCCTTATCAGACTTCTGTGGCAAGTGATGTTATTGAGCACCAATGAAGGCCGGCACGCCTTTGTCTCCCAAGTGACGTTGTTAACACATCGCACCAGATAATCATTTGAGGCTGAGTCGACTTTGGGTAAGATGCTCAGGACCGGTTCAGATAATCGTCACTTGTGTTGACCATGAGCTGGAATCGAACTCGGGTCTCTGCCGGGTTCATAGCGCTAACCGCTACACTTCTGTGGGGTGACACGCAAACACACGCACACGCCATGTGTTTGCACCGTGTTGTCCGCCTAGGTACGCCGGGTGAAAGAGGCGAGAAAGGCGAGCGGGGAGAGAGCAGCGTGGGGCCCAGGTCGGCCTTCTCTGCGAAGGTCGGCACTTACACGCCGGCGGCCGGCTCCCCCGTGTTGTTCAATGTCATCATCACCAACCCGCAGGGCCACTACAACCCCGGCACGGGGAAATTCACCTGCGCCCACCCAGGCGTCTACTATTTCACGCTGTACGCGCACCCCGGTGAACAGCACCTCGTGATTATGATCATGAAAAACGGGAAGGTCATCTCTAAGCTGTGTAGTATAAACTTAGTCACAATGAGTGGCAGCGTCGTGCTGAGTCTCAAAGCTGGGGACGAGGTGTGGCTGGAGTTGGAGGCTCCGCACATTAGTTTTTTCATCAACGTGCACAGAGACGCCGTGTTCAGCGGCTATATGCTGTACTCAGAGTGAATCATTTTTTTGTCCATCGGCGCGTCTGGGAAAACAGATCAGGAACACATTAACACACACGCGCATAAAATAAAATAAAACAAATCACGACGTTTCGATCGTGATTGTTTTTTTATTATAGTTCATTTCTAACTACGTGACTTTACCGAAAGAACCAAAGAGTATGGATTCCTGCAGTCACGAAAGCTTCAAATCAAGATTAATTGGCCACCTTTTGTTTACGTGACAAACCTTTACTGAATGGGCTATGTCGGGTTAACGACACTTATACTGACGCCATTTTACTCCAATATTAAAACACGTTCCTTCGGAGTGGGCAGGTAGGAACTTGGTTGGACAGCGCATTCGTGCACGACAGACAGACAAATAATCCCTGGTGGGCAGTGTGGAACCTGTTGTTCCTACCTGTATGTATACAAGATAACTTGACTTTAGGTAGCCAGGCAGACAGCCCCCTGAACTATCCCCCCCCCCTCCCTTAGGCCCCTCCCCTGACCCCCTTTCCCTTAGGCCCCTCCCCTGACCACCCCCCCCCCATATCCTCAGGCCCCTCCCCTGACCCCCCTTCCCTTAAGCCCCTCCCCTGACCCCCCTTCTGTTAGGCCCCTCCCCTGAGCACCCACCCCCCATATCCTTAAGCCCCTCCCCTGACCCCCCCTCCCTCAGGCCCCTCCGCTGACCCCCCCCCTCAGACCCCTCCCCTGACCCCCCCCCTCAGGCTCCTCTCCTGACTCCCCCTTCCTTAGGCCCCTCCCCTGACCCTCCTCCCTTAGGCACCTCCCCTCTCCGAACCCGGCAGTAGGTCTCCACCAATCAAAGAGCTGTTTGTAAGGTCTCCACCAATCAAAGAGCTGTGTGTATTATATATTATGTACGACAGACAAACAGACAGTCAGACAGACAGACAGCTAAATAATCCCTGGTGGGCAGTGTGGAACATTGTTCCTCCATGTAAAAATTATCTATCATGAATAATATTGGTGGCGAAAGCCTCCTACTACTTTGGGTTAAATTGACATTCATAAAGCATAGGAGGACACCGTCCAGTTAAAGGACCGGAGTTGAGCGTTTAGGCGTCAGAATCCAAGTCTGCATTGCAGCCCGGTGAACCACCACAGCCGGATGTTATGTTCAGCCCACGGGGTCTTAAACACAGGAGCACTGGAGATAGAGAGGCGCTCTCTCTCGCATCGTGAGTTCAAGACAGCTGCACAAAGTCCCAGCGCATGCAACACGCTCCCAGGTGGCGCAACGACCGATTCGCTATTTCAACGTTGGTGGGATTGCTTTGCAAGTTACGACTCACTGGTACTCAAATAGCTACGCATGCTTTTTTAACTCCCGTATATACAATATGTAGGCTATAACTACATATATAACCGGAGGTGCGGGAGAAGGACAATAAACTATGTATCTCTGTGTGAGTTTCCGTGTCTTCGTCTGAGTCTATGGGTCTCTACGTTAGTTTATGGGCTTCTATGTTAGTCTTTGAGTCTGTGTGAGCCTATGAGTCTCTGCGTGAGTCTATAGGTCATCGTGTGAGTTTATGGGTTTCTGTGTGAGTTTTTTGCATCTGTGTGAATCTATGGGTCTCTGTGTGAGTCTATGGGTCTCTGTATGAGTCTATGAGTATCTGAGTATATGGGTATCTGTGTGTGTGTAATAAAAGACTCCGTCAGGCACTGCTGGTCTCCGCTTGTCTTTTATTCAAGTTCTCCGCACCCCACTGGTCTCCTCCACGGACCAGCATCGTCTCGCGCGCGCCCCGCGCACCCTCCCTCTCGCGTGCCACGCATGCTCCTCCGTTAGCTCCTCCACTCGTCCTCACACCCCGCTGGTTTCTGACAAGGGACCAGCATCTCCTCTCGCGTGCCACGCACGCTCCTCTCGCGTGCCCCGCACGCTCCTCTCGCGTGCCCCGCACGCTCCTCCGTCAGCTCCTTCTCGCGCGCGCCCCGCACGCGCTCTCCCGTTACTCCTCTTGCGTGCCCCGCACGCTCCTCTGTCAGCTCCTTCTCGCGCGCGCCCCGCACGCACTCTCCCTTAGTCGCTCCACTCCTCCCTGCTCCGCACACTGCTGGCCGACGGTGTGCCGAAGCCCCATCAGCCACGTGGCTGATGGCGCAGCGGCCACCCAACGTGGTCCCGCTTCTTCACTCCATCAACTGGCCCCAATCTCTTCTGGGCTTCCTTCTATATCGTCTCTCCCACGTGACCCTGACTCCTCCCCTTCCGGATCGTCAGATCCGGCCTTCTCATACTGCCCTGCTGGCTCCACCTCCATTCACCTCGCTTCCCATTGGAGCCGAGGTGAACGGCGGCCCCTCCCACACGCCCCCCCATACCGGGCCGTGTGATTGAGCCAGAGCCCAGCAGCAACCCCATTTACGCTCGCATTACATGTGTATGAAACCTGTCCTCTCTCTCCGATGTGTCGCATAACGTTGCCTTATACCCCATGCAGGGGAGTAGCAGCAGCAGCTCCTGACTCTGAATTATGACCTCCATGTGTTTCTTTCTTTTATCGGCCTAGAATCTCTTACTTTCTAAAAAATATCCAATCCTGTTTTGGGGATTCACTCAATTACCAGCTTTAACAACAGCACACGTGGAATGAATGTTTTCTTCTGACATCAGAGCCACCGATGGGGGTGAACTCCTTAGATTGGTTTGTCATTGTGTGTCTCTGTTCATGTGTGCGTTTCTGTCTGCGTGTCCATGTGTATATTTGTGAATGGTAATATACATGTGCATGTTCATGTGTTGTGTGTGTATCGATATGATATGTTCATGTGTATGTATCTGTATGTGTTTATTTGTTCAAATGTGCATGTCTCCGTGTCCATGTGTGTGCACGTGTGTGTGTGCATGTTCATTTAATTTTATGTGTGTGCGTATTCAAGTGTCCAGCAAAAACAACCACCTATCTCCTCACTAGGGCCTGATGGTAATGCTGTGGTGGATGTGAGCAATACCATCCAGGAAAGGTCAATTCCAAAATCGGCAATACCCGTTCATGGTGGTTATAGCCACTATAGCAGCAAAACCAGGGCTCTGGACGTGTGTGAGGGTCTGGTAAACCTTCCACCTCCAATACAAATACCACTAATATACATGTAAAAAATCTAACTAAACTTGTGCCGCAGGCCCCGGGGGGACAGGCTTCTGTGACGTCTCCTGGATAAACCCCATTTGGAGTAGCCAAGGGACTGAATCATTACAATTGGGGTTCCTCCAGAGACAGCAAGAAGCCATTGCGAGTAGCCACGTGGAATGTTAGAACGCTCACTGCGGAGGAGAGACTGCCACTCCTCTGTCAGGAGCTGGACTGGTACCGGCTGGATCTCTGCGGCATTCAGCAGGTCCGGTGGACTGGCTCCAGCCACAATGAGGGGTGGATAGTCCTCTACTCGGGGCATAACACTGCCAAACAATAGGGAGTGCCTTTTCTTCTGAACAAAATAATGAAAGGGATATGGGAGCATAGCGGTGAGGTGTGTGAAATTGGAAGACCCAGGCTACTGTGGGCTCGCCTTCCCTTCAATCAAAGGCGGGTATGGAGGTTGTGGTTATTTTTGCACCCACCGAAGATGAACATAAGTGGATGGATGCAGGCAAGGCCGATGAATCAGATGCCTTTTATGACCTCCTATCATAGGTGCTAGCTAAAGTGGCCCTTCGAGATATAGTAATCTTGTTGGGTGGCTCTGAGTCCCGCGTGGGTCATGATGCTGGCACCTAGTCTGGAGTAATTGGAAGGCTTCAGGCAGATCAGCTCAAAAACAACCGTAGGAGGCTGCTAGATTTGTGTGCAGCCCATGGGCTTGTAATTACAAACACGCTGTTCCAGCATTGGTGCATCCACACAACATCATGGATGCATGCCGGGTCCAAACAAGAACATCTGCTGGACTACATAATGATGGAATACGTGTATACGGGCCTATGTCCTTGACACCAGGCCCTACCGTAGAGCTGATCTGCCCACTCACCATCGGCTTATCATCTCTAAGATGCGCATGCCATTCTTCCACTCCGGTAGTGGGTGTACATCCAGGACCCTATTCAAACACACAGCGGCCTGGTCTCAGCTAGCTAATGAAAGTTGCTAGCGAGAATTTCATGATCACTTGCAGCTGGGGTTTGCATCTTCCACCATTCCTGATGTCGAGGGGAAATGGGCGAGTTATAGGACTGTGGCTCATGCAGCTGCAATGGCTGCTTTGGGTGCACTGTCCAATTCTCTCCAGAGACCCTGGCAGACAGAGGAGGTGTTCAGGCTAGCTGAGAAAAAGCGACATGTCCCCTTTCACGGTCTACAGCATCCCATGTCAGAGAATGAGGAGGCTTACCGCAGCCTTCTCTCAGAAATTTGGAGATCCATACGCAGCTGCAAAGATGGGTGTTGGTCACGGGTTGGTGAGGAGATGGATTCTGCCTCAGTAATACCCGATCACAAATCACTGTTTAAGCTTCTTCAGTACAGTACTTGGGGCTGATTATGTACAATGTCGCAGTATCATTTAGAAGCAATATGGTAGCTTTTATCAATTCCAAACGGAACATAGGGGGAAGCAGTGCTTGTGTCGATACAGAAAACCAATTTTTATTTTTGTCTTTTACCAAAATAATCAATGTGATATTCAAAATTCAGTTTCGAATCCAGGATGACCCCAATATACTTATAGATCTTGACTTGCTCTATTTAATAATTATTTAAGGAATGTAATTGTGGAAAAATAACTTCCTGCTTTAGTCCTGATGAGAAGCATAGCACCTTGGTTTTGGAGGTATTCCGGACTAGTTTAAGAGCAATTAGCTGATGTATTTTGTTGAAATCACCCTGGAGCTTAGCAATCACGTCATCCGGAGAGCAGCCGGCAGTAATCAGTATCGTGTCATCTGCAAAAAGATTTACCCTGGAATGATCCAGGTCAGTGCCCAAGTCATTTACGTAAACAGAGAACAAGAGGGGGCCGAGGATGGAACCCTGTGGAACCCCTTTTGTTATCTTAACATTGTTTGACCTCCAACCATCTGTGCAAACAGTTTGGGTGCGAGAAAAGACGTACATTTTTAACCATTCTACTGCGTGTTTGGAGAAACCGAGGCAACTTAGTTTACTAAGCAGGATGTTGTGGTCTACTGTATTAAAGGCTTGGGAAAAGTCAAGAAAAAATGGCGCAGTACTGCTCATCATCAAGGCTACTGTAAATGTGATTCAGAGAGTCTAGTGCAGCAGATGTGGTACTGTAATTTTTTTCAGAACCCGGATTTTTTTAGATGTCATAGATTGTTGTCGGACAGGAAACTGCTAATTTGTTAGTTCAATAACTTTTCTAAAATTCTCATCAACGGAGACAAAAATGAGATGAGTCGGTAGTTATTTGGATTATCTTTAGGGCCCCATTTGTGAAGTGGACGAACATCATTAGGGGTATTGTATGTATGCCATTTTCAAAAAATTCTAAGAAGAATGATATCGCCTATTTTTTATGTAATAGTTATTTCTTTACATATCTGGATTTAGCGCGTTCTAAAAACACGCAGTAACGGAGGCCTGTGAACTGCTCCCTTGAAACAACAAAGGAAAAAGGAGCACCCCCTGCTGCTTCGCCAGCGTCCCTAACACAAAGGAGACAGGCATCGTAGAGGTACTTACTCACAAGCCTTTGCTTGAAAAGTTATAATGTTTTAATTGACCACCACCGCGTAGGAATATTTTCCAACATTATGGTATTAAAGGTTAGTTTAGTGATAGAATGTACTGTTATATGATGGTGCAGCCCAGGAGCAAAAGGTTTTTATAATGACTATTTGGCATGAATCTTGGCTTAAAGCTTTCGTGACTGCAGGAATTCATATTCTTGGGTCTTTCGGTAAAGTCACGAAGATAGGATAAAAAAAAAACTACGTCTCGATCACAACACAAGCCATCGTCATCAGGAGGAGAAAAGAGGGGAAAGCTGCTTAGGCAGACTGTTTTAAGGGTTTTAAAATGGTGTAGCCCAAGGGTCATAAACGAAGTGGGCAGGGCTAGTGATGTTAATGTGAGCGGACAGTGGCCTCCACGACGAGGGCGTGGAGGTGGCTATGTTAATGTGAGAGAATAGCATGTTAATGTGAGAGATTAGCATGTTAATGTGAGAGATTAGCATGTAAAAGGCAGATCGCAGAGCAGCAATGTCGAGCTCGCCGTGCGAGGTGGCTGTGTTAGTGTGGGAAATTTGATCTGACCACCGAGCTCGACGACGGTAACTGACTGGATAGCTGGCTGACTATCCAGCAGTGGCGGCGTCGGACGATGACAAGCATGGCAGCAGCGATGGCGACGACGAGGACGACTTCCACGGCGAGACGACCTTGATTCCCACGGACAGCCACCAAACTCCCTCTCTCGCCCCCTTTTATCCTTCCAGCGGGATCTGGCCCCGCTCAGGCCATGCACCCCTTCTCGCACCTTCCAGCTGGTTCTGGGAGCTCAAAGACGGATCCCTTCTATGACCTTTGGCTGAGTTCTTCTCCCTTCCATGACCTTTGACCCAGTTCTTCTCCCTTCCATGACCTTTGGCCCAGTTCTTCCCCTTTGGTGGGTACACCCGTAATTGCTGCTCCTGGTCGCCAGTCGGCGCTGCTACACTAAACTTGCATGGACAATGTTGTTGGTGTTCTGATGATAATAATTTGTGGATGTTATTGGAAGTTGAGATTAAAGTTGCTTAGATTAAAAACAGGTTTCTGTGTGCTTCTTTCCTAATCTTGTGCATCATTGTCGTAATAACAAACTGTATCCTGCGGTGAGATCTGATTCCCGAGACCTGACACAATTGCACATGCAATTTTTAAAGCGAGAACCATTCATGTTAAAGCGAGAAGTGTACATGTTGAAGCTGAGATTCATTGATATTATCACGATTGGTGAAACATACCACGAAGCAACGAGAGAGCCAATAGTACATTTTTATTTAATTATGTTACCTATATTTCATTTAATATTTTTTTAATATATACAACAATATATACAACAGCGGTGTCAAGATGGGCCTCTAAGGAGGAGGCTTGTTAAGAATGCTATTGGGCAGTTGTAGGCAGTCGTTCTCCAGCAACAACGGATGGCAGAGGAGAGACGCTCACAACAACACGCGGAGCACTGGGTGGCTCAAACACAAGAAGCTTGCACAGAAGAGGGCACAGGTGGTGCATCGGCCAGTTATCTGGGTCTGCCCGGTGACCTCCTGCCAGCGGGCGTTCGACACTTCACGTGGCCTCAACGTGCACATGGCCTGGCGCAAGCGCAGTGGTAACGTCACCGCCACTTAATGGCGAATGGCGGTTGTTGTTGTGCACGCGCAAGCACGTCTCTGTGTGAAAGTGTCGTTCTTCCATACCTTCGATTATCACGGTTGACTACGTATGGTGCGAAATAAGTTGAACGTGCATACACACGTGTCACAGCATGGAAAGAGGTGGCGCCAGCTGCTTACAGAGGCCTTCATCCAGCTGTGGATTGTCCCCGACTGATGGTGATGATGATAGTAGTTGTGGCGAGGGTGAGATACCACACACACGCACGCGCGTGCGTGTGGTTCCAAATCTAGAAATGCAATAAGTGGACAGGGTCACACTAACTCCTTCGCGTGTGTGTCTGTGTGTCTGTCAAAGTGAGTGTGTGGGGGAGCGGTAGTGTAGCAGTTAGCGCTACGTCACACTGCGAACCCGGCGACCCGAGTTAGAATCATGGACAACATCGGTGATTTCGATTATCTAAACTGGCCCGAGCCTCGGCTAGGTCGACTCAGTCTCAAATGAGTACCTGGTGTGGGACGTAAAATCATCGCTGGTGGGGAGACAATGGCGACCGGGCGTGGTGCTGACCACCCACCCCCTCGTGTGACATGCCGGCGTTCATAGGTGCTCGCTAACAGTGCTTGCCCCAACAGTCTGTTACAGGCTATACGGGGGCAGTCACGTGCGGTAAGGCGAGGCAAAGGAGGCAGAGCCTCACCTGTCAAACTACAATGAAAATAGCTTTACTTCAAGTAAAAAAAAGAATAATAAAATAGAATAGGAAGATTTCCCCACTAATCTGTGTCATAAATATAATTTCTGTATGAATCCAATAATTTTTATAGTCAAAATCGCCAAATATTCGGAGGTCTGCTGTAAATACAGGGAGAGACGAGAGGTGAGGCAGCGACGATCTCAGCCTCCCCTCTGATTGCGCAACCCCTCAGAAACTGGATGGAGCACGGGCATTCAGCACGTGCATGTTACTATTTCTCTGTATGTCACCAATGTAATGTTTGTAGACCCCTTCATTACATGTCCTCGCCTTCCATACTCCGGGTAACTTATTTCAAGTATGTGCATGAAGATATTTAGGCTCGCATGTCTCGTGATGAAACTGCAATCAAAAAGCACCAGGGGAGGCAGCTATCACATCTGCCTCACTGAGGGGGACGTGTCAGACAAGCCCCCCTCAGTGAGGACACATCCCCTCAGTGAGGACACGCCACCCCTCAGTGTGTCAATAAGGCTTTGATACGAGCCAGTGCCTCCCCAGCCATTGACGTCACCGCACGTCACTGCTAAATATCACCACTAAGGGAGACAAAGGCGGTTGGGCGTGGTGCTGCTGGCCACCCACCCCCTCGTGTGCCACAGTGCCGGCCTTCAAAGGCGCTGCTACTTCTCGCTACGAACAGCCACTTGCCCCCGGCAGTCTGTTACAGGCTACACGGGGGATCTTTGTCTTTCTTGTTTGTGTGCGCGCGTGTTGACTGTGACGTCACACGTGGGAGGTCTGGACCAAGTTGGAAATGGAGGAGCACGTGACTCAAGTAACGTTTAAAAGGGGAGACGGGGGAGAGGATTCCAGTGACTCGGTGACCAACGCTGAGCACCGACAACCTCCTATTAGCAGGACGCTCAGCTGCTACGTACGGTGGAGCGAAAGAAAATTCAACTTACCGTACGTATAAAGACTCGCACAGAGACCCATAGAATCATCACACAGAGACCCATAGACTCACACAGAGACCCATAGACTCACGCAGAGGCCATGGACTCCTCAAAAAGTGACAAATAGACTCACAAAAAGACCCATAGACTTACATAGAGATGAGAACGCTCACACAGACCTATCGACTCACACAGAGATTCATAGCCTCACACAGAGATCCATAGCCTCAAAACCCATGGACTCAAACGGAGACCCATATACTCATCACACATAGACTCACAGACTCACAGATAGACCCACAGACTCACACAGAGACCTGTATACTCACACAGCCCATAAACACCTCACACAGAGACCCATCGACTCAAACAGAGACCCACAGACTCATAGACTCACAAAGAGACCCGTGAACTCACATAGAGACGAGTTGACTCACACATGGACCCACAGCCTCGCACAGAGACGAGGAGACTTACACATAGACCCACATTTGTGACAGGCAGGGCGCTTGTGAAAAAAGAGCTACTATATAGCAGCTCATTCATACCTTACTTGGTAAAATAAAATAATAGTTCGTGTTTAAATCCATCCTGTACACCTGGCGAGCTAGTTAACATCTCGCCACTGCTGTCCTCAGATGTCCATCTCGGCCCTGCTGCCGCTGCTGCTGCTGGGGGTGGTGGTGGTGGGAGCCCAGCAGGAGAAGACCGTCTGCGCGGGCATCAACGGGATCCCCGGACAGCCCGGAGCCCCGGGGCAGCACGGGACCCCTGGGGCCCCCGAGAGGGACGGCAGAGACGGTGAGGGGTCAGGTCCCAGAGTCCCCCCCACGGTGATGCGACGCGTTCACTCACTCAATCGTTCACTCGCCATGTCATGCACTCGATCGTTTACTCGCTCATTCTCGTAGGAGAGTGTCTCGAGTGGAGTAGAGTCAGATGAGAGGGGAGAGGCAGGAGAGTGCGTGGAGGGGAGTTGAGTGAGATGAGAGGGGAGAGGCAGGAGAGTGCGTGGAGGGGAGTCGAGTGAGATGAGAGGGGAGAGGCAGGAGAGTGAGTGGAGGGGAGTGGAGTGAGATGAGAGTGGAGAGACAGGAGAGTGCGTGGAGGGGAGTGGAGTGAGGTGAGAGTATAGTGGCAGGAGAGTGCGTGAAGGGGAGTGGAGTGAGATGAGAGGGGAGAGGCAGGAGTGTGAGTTCGAGGGGAGTGGAGTGAGATGAGAGAGGCAGGAGAGTGCGTGGTGGGGAGCAGAGTGAGATGAGAGGGGAGAGGCAGGAGAGTGAGTGGAGGCGAGTGGTGTGAATTGAGAGTGGCTTGAGGAGCGGACGAGCCATGCTTTGTTCTTCTCGCAGGCGTTACCGGAGCACCCGGAGCCAAGGGAGACCTCGGGGCTCGAGTCTTGACTGGGGACCCAGGTGGAACTGTGACACTGACTCGTGTGCTCCTAGCAGCTGATTTTACATTTATAAATCCTTTATATTAAGTTCACTTGCTTGCTTGCGCGCTTACGACCGTGCAAATCTTTCGGTCGTTTTTTAACCCACTTCCCGTGATCCAATCGAGCTGACATTTTGTACACAGACTCGTTGTGCGTGACAATTTATTTTTGTGAAAATTTTTTTCCAAAATTTTCCACTTTTTAGGAAAAAACAAAATTTCACTAACACAATCATATATTTTTCCTAAACACAGAAAATTATTCAATATATCAACAAAAATGTACAACATAAACAATCATACAAAAACTGAAAACCTTATAATCCTTACATACGACTTTCCTTATATTTAATTTAAAATACCAATGTGATAAAAATGAAACTCTTACTCCAGAAAAACAGAAATGAATAATAAAATAAAACCGATGCCACGCATATAAAGGATTTATAGTGAAAAACTTTGTTTTTACGGGTTAATTTTTATTTTATTACCAAGTAATCCTCACTGAGCTATGCGTAGTGGCGTAACGCGCGCAGGGTTTGCAAACAGCAGTTACATTCATGTACCGGGTTGCAAACATTGAGGTCAGCTCAGGACGAGCAGGTGCAGGCGGGTGGCCTGGGAGGCAGCAGACAGAGAGACGCCAGCAATTAGGGAACGAGGCAGTGATTGGCTAGCTGCTAATGCAAACGCGGGGTCGGTGCCAAGGAGGCAAGAGATAGTGGCGATGAAGGGGAGAACACGTGCAAGAGACGCCATGTTAAGGAGGGCCACCTGAGGGCACTTAAGGAGAAGGGGGATATAAGGGGAACGTGTGAAGCAACGGGGTTGAGTTGGTTGGAGATGAAGCAGTGAACATATTCAAGAGAAGTCCGGGACCTTGCCCTCCACACCTCGTCCTCCCCAGAGGTGATGGCTGATCCCCTGCTGGGGCAAGGGCGAGACACGCTATCAGTGGAAAGACTAGCGGAAAATCTTTAGTCTGAGTGTGATAGGCTAGCGGGGTGAGAAGCTAGCAGAGTGTACAGATAGAGAGTCCGTGACAGGCTAGGAGAGCGGGGAGTAACAGGCTAGCGGAGCAAGAGAGAGTAAGCTCGAAGAAGCAGGCTAGCGGAGGAAGAAAGAAAGAGTTCGCTACAGGAGTACGTGGTGTTGAACGTGAGGAGCATCCGTGTGGGATGCTGCGAATAAAGTAACTCCGGAGGAAAAAAAAAGTTTTCCGCGTGAATAAACACCACGCGACATATGTAACTCTTGTTCAGAAGCGACCTGGCCACACGTAATGATAGGTAGACGAAGTGGACTTATCATCACGTGGATATTTATTCAGCCAAATACATGTCTACATGTGGAGGGAAGAAAATCGGAGGACCCGGTGAAAAACTCCACACAACAACGGGGAGAGACGCATGCAAACTCCAAATAAACAGCTGACGTCAGGAATGCGATCGTGTACACGACCTCCTGTAAACAAGGCGAGGTAGTTAACATCTCGCCACCGACAGGCTGCATGTGCCCCGAAGCGATTCATCACTTCTCTTATTGTTTTTAACGTGAAGTTAAAAGATACGAGAAGCGGCCAAACAACTCAACGATAATCGAGGTAGGAAATAACCGAGCTCACTGATCTATTTATTTCACTGCGGTTGCTATGAGATGTTAACTCCCCCGTCTGGTCCACAAGAGGTCGTGGGTTCGAACCAGAGGTCGCAATCGGGTACCCGATACCCGTACCCTACCCGATACCTGGCTTCCCGTACCCGGCCGGGTACGGGTACCCGTTTGCGACCCTGGTGCGGCCGGGTACGGGTAGACCGTGAGTCACTGGTGAGTAACCGTTTGTCACTCATTTCGGGTAGGGTACGGGTAGGGAACGGGTACCCGTACCCGGCCGGGTACGGGTACGGGTACCCATTTGCGATCCTGGTGTGGCCGGGTACGGGTAAGGAATCAAAAACTGTTTGCGACCTCTGGTTCGAACCCAACCCTGACGATGCCTGATGTATATTCGGTGTTTGCATGTTCTCCCCGTGGTCGTGTGAATTTTCTTCAGGTACTCTGGTTTTCCCTTCCACGTTTAGACTTTAGAGTATTTGGCTGCTACAAATTGCCACGTGATGATACCCGCCACTTCATTGTCGACAGGCTGGTCGCTTCTAAAAAAATAGCAACACAAAAGCTTAGTGAACCTTACACCTGGTAAAATAACAAATAGTTGAGTTCCTAGTTTAGTTTTTGGGTCTCTATGTATCTCCATGTTTTGGAAATTAGAGCTCACTAGGTATACCGTGAAAAGCTGTAACATCACCCCATGTTCTGGAAAATATACCTCATTAGGTACACCGTGTATAGCCAGAACATGACCCCCATATTCTGGAAAACAGAACTCACTCGGTACACCGTGTAGAGCTGAAATACACGTTCCATACAGCCACGTCGGGCAAGGTTTTCCTGTTACAAAACAAAGACGTTCGTCACAGGACTCGACTCAATTGTGCAGGTTTGGCTCACTGTCATCAACATTGATGCAGAATTGCCCCATCTCTTCATTTGAGAGTGGGGATAAACACACAAAATCAAAGAACCCCCGTAAATTTTGGATTCAAAGTTTTTGTAACTGCAAGGATCCATACTCTTGGTTATTTCGGTAAAGTCACGTAGGTAAGTAAAATTTAAGATAATAATAAATAAATAAATAAAAGACTGTTGTGGAATGTGCTGTTAGTGAGCATCTATGAAGGCCGTCACGCCTTTGTCTCCCAAGTAGCGTTGTTAACACATCGCACTTGGTAATCATTTGAGAATGAGTCGATGTTGGGAAGAATTCCCAGGACTGGTTCAGATAATCGCCACTTGTGTTGACCATGTGCGGGAATCGCACTCGGGTCTCTGCTGGGTTCATAGCACTAACCGCTACACTACCGTGGGGTAACACATCCCACAAATGCCATGCATTCAGACTGTGTTGTCCGCCTAGGTCTGCCGGGAAAGCTGGGCCCTCTTGGCCAACCGGGGCGCGCGGGGACTCCAGGAGTCCCAGGTGAGCAGGGCGAAAGAGGCGAGAAAGGCGAGCGGGGAGAGAGCGGCGTGGGGCCCAGGACGGCCTTCTCTGCGAAGGTCGGCACTTACACGCCAGCGGCCGGCTCCCCCGTGACGTTCAACGTCATCATCACCAACTCGCAGGGCCACTACAACCCCGGCACGGGGAAGTTCACCTGCGCCCACCCAGGCATCTACTATTTCACGCTGTACGCTCACCCTGGTGAAAAGCACCTCGTGGTTATGATAATGAAAAACGGGGAGGTCGTCTCTAAGGTCACCGGTATAAACTACAACGCAATAAGCGGCAGCGTCGTGCTGAGCCTCAAAGCCGGCAACGAGGTATGGCTGGAGATGGAGGCTCCGTACATTAATTTTCACATTGACGCGCACAGAGACGCCGTGTTCAGCGGCTATATCCTGTACTCCTAGTGAATAGTTTTTGTTTCCATCGGCGCGTTTGGGAAAACAGATTGGGAACACATTCACACACACGCGCATGCACCCCTCGTGATAAACAAAGCTTTTGGGCAACATCTCAGAAAATTGGTCAGCAAAAATCTGCAAATATGCTTGGCTTGCCCAAAGCTGTGGGAATGACCGCTAATTTTTGGATGTGAGATGTTCTCACCAGAAGAAAAATAGGCTCGGCACTTCTTCTCAGCCACCTCCCTCCTTGCCAGCCAGGGTGTCTGGGTGATTATGAATCGGTTAGACAATGCAGAGAGACATAGCAGCTTGCACCAGCTGAAAAAGTCTTGAAACCTCAACAATTTTCCCATCCGGCATCGGCAGTGAAGGGAGAAATATTCCAATTCCAGCTGATAGCTATGAGGGTTGCTCATTTCTAACATGGGAGTGAGAGGAGTTCGGATCCATTTTCTGCAATTCCCTCAATTATTTTTAATCGGACACCAACACAGATTTTTAAACGCGCTTTGACGGCAACAGATAGAAGGACAATAACTCGATCTGGAATACTGGGAATTTTAACAAGATTTGGAATGTAGTAACTATGCCTTTGTTCGTTATGCACAAGGACGTGAACCAACTGTGGTGGATAATAATTCATTGACAACCAAGTACAACCAACTATTCAAACTCTCGGCGACAGTAATAGCACGCGTCTATAGAACCATGCAGTTCACCGACTTAACACAGCGACCCCGCGTGTCAGCCATGACAGAACCAACCCTAACACACGCCTAGAGTCTGCTGCAGTATATTCTTCACACATATCGGTTGATGCATGGCTTCTCAGCTTTAAATGTATTATTGATCAATCGATTGCCCCAGTGCTAAATGCACTATAAAGGCGTACGTGTTCACGGAGTGCAGTAAAGGTTGTAGCCACATGTACTGTACGGTACAGTACTTATTAATTTAGCACTGGGGCAAGGTCTGTTCACAATAGCAATACATTGTAATGGTTTCTCTTTGGTTCTTTTGGTAAAGTGACTTAAAAAAGTAGTTAGGTTAGCGTAAATATAATTGTAATTTGTGTAAATTATTCATGTACGTGTTGGAAGCAACATGAAATAAATCATAATAGAGAGATTGCGTAAATATAAATGGATCATTAAATTGGTAAAGGTTTGTAACGTACACAAAACGTAGTGGGTTTACTCTCCTTCACACCGGTGGTCTTCACTAGTAACGATTTGGCATGTTTTGTTTACGTAACAAACCTTTGTAATTGTCTGTATCGGGTGGTGTTTAGCGGTTCATATTTACGCGATCTAACCCAAAAACCTCTATTATAGATATATTGGTCACGAAAGCTTACCCCATGTTAAACTGAGATGTTGTTGGTCAATGCCAGATTCACACTTTGCCTGTTTCGTTTTTAGCTACAGGAGGAGAAAAAATAAGACCTAAGAGTCCGGAGGAAATCCTGGCACAGAACAAGGGGGAGAATAGACAACACTCCACTCCACTCGCTCACTCACTCACAATGAACTCACACGCGCTGATGATGATCACGATGGTGAAAAATACAAAACTAGCATCTTGTACTAAAGATTAGCTGCCAAAGTTATCAACAGAAGGTGTGTACCGGATTAATTGCTCTCGTAGTTAAATGCTTTGTTGGACAGTTGGTACGAAACATTTGTTCGAGATTGATTAAAACTTTCGCGGCTGCAGCAATTCATATTCTTTGGGTCTTTCAGTAAAGTACCGTAGATAGGTTGAAAAAACATTACAAACATTACAATGTTTTTTTTTATATGAGACTAAAATAACACCGAAGAAATATTAAGTACTTGCAAACACAACTGTTTGCATTTGCAGAACAAGCATGCCAACAAGGGCATTAACTTGATTTTGATAACGTTGCTTTGGTTGTGTCACACTAATTATCATTTGGCCAAGACTAATTCGAGAAGCCATTGACATTGAGAGAAATACAAATAACTTTAACCGTTCTGACTGATTCAGGCTTAGCACTGCTTGGAAGCCTATTATTAAGTAATACACCTTACAATTGTATGCCTTGTAAAGGCATCACAATACTGATTAACTGTGTTTAAGCCATCTGTTCCAGATTAACATAATCCATTGTTACAGGATTACAATAATCACACTCTGATCTCTGATTGGCTCACAGTGATGACGCCACGTTTCTCTATTTAAGACCGGAAGTAAGGTAGATATCTCTTCACATTCTGGCAAAGTCGCCCGATGATGATGATGGTTGGCGTAAATTGCTAGCGAAAGGTCATGGTATTTAAAAATGGTAAATTTTGCAATAGATTTTCTCAAGCAACACACAACCGGTTAGTGCTGAAGTAGAAACTAATTGGCCATGCTTTTTGGTTCTTTCGGCAAAGTCACGTAGTTAGAAATAAAATAAAAACAAATCACGATGTTTCGATCGTGATTGTTTTTATTTCAGTTCATTTCTAACTACGTGACTTTACCGAAAGAACCAAAGAGTATGGATTCCTGCAGTCACGAAAGCTTCAAATCAAGATTAATTGGCCACCTTTTGTTTACATGACAAACCGTTACTGAATGGGCTATGTCGGGTTAACGACATTTATACTGACGCCATTTTACTCCAATATTAAAAAAAACATCTATCATGAATAATATTGGTGGCGAAATCCTACTGCTACTTTGGGTTAAATTGACATTCACAAAGCACAGGACACCGTCCAGTTAAAGGACCGAAGTTGAGCGTTTAGGCGTCAGAATCCAAGTCTGCATTGCAGCCCGGTGAACCACTACAGCCGGATGTTGTGTTCAGCCCACGGTGTCTTAAACACAGGAGCATTGCAGATAGAGGCGCTCTCTCTCTCTCGCATCGTGAGTTCAAGACAGCTGCACTAAGTCCCAGCGCATGCAACACGCTCCCAGGTGGCGCAACGACCAATTCGCTATTTCAATGTTGGTGGGGTGGCTATGCAAGTTACGACTCACTTTTACTCAAATAGCTACGCATGTTTTTTAACACCCGTATATACAATATGTAGGCTATAACTACATATATAACCGGAGGTGTGGCAGAAGGACAATAAACTATGTATCTCTGCGTGAGTTTCCGTGCCTTTGTCTGAGTCTGTGTCTATATGTTAGTTTATGGGCTTCTATATTAGTCTTTGAGTTTGTGTGAGCCTATGAGTCTCTGCGTGAGTCTATAGTTCATCGTGTGAGTTTATGGGTCTCTGTGTGAGTTTTTTGCATCTGTGTGAATCTATGGGTCTCTGTGTGAGTCTATGGGTCTCTATATGAGTTTAGGGGCTTCAATGCGTGTCTTTGACTTTCTGCGTGAGTTTATGGGTCTCTTTGTGAGTCTATAGGTCTCTGTATGAATCTGAGTATCTGAGTATATAGGTATCTGTGTGTGTGTAATAAAAGACTCCGTCAGGCACTGTTGGTCTCCGCTTTTCTTTTATTTAGGTTTTTCTCCGCACCCCACTGGTCTCCTCCACGGACCAGCGTCGACTCGCGCGTGCCCCACACACTCCTCCGTTAGCTCCTCCACTCGTCCTCACACCCCGCTGGTTTCTGACAAGGGACCAGCGTCTCCTCTCGCGTGCCCCGCACGCTCCTCTTGCGTGCCATGCACGCTCCTCCGTCAGCTCCTTCTCGCGCGCGCCCCGCACGCGCTCTCCCGTTACTCCTCTCGCGTGCCCCCATACGCTCCTCGGTCAGCTCCTTCTCCCGCTCCGCACACCGCTGGCCGACGGTGTGCCGAAGCCCCATCAGCCACGTGGCTGATGGCGCGGCGGCCACCCAACGTGGTCCCGCTTCTTCACTCCATCAACTGGCCCCGATCTCTTCTGGGCTTCCTTCTATATCGTCTTTCCCACGTGACCCTGACTCTTCCCCTTCCGGATCGTCAGATCCGGCCTTCCCATACTGCCCTGCTGGCTCCACCTCCATTCAACTCGCTTCCCATTGGAGCCGAGGTGAACGGCGGCTCCTCCCACATGCCCCCCATACCGGGCCGTGTGATTGGGCAAGAGCCCAGCAGCAACCCCATTTACACTCGCATTACATGTGTATGAAACCTGTCCTCTCTCTCCGATGCGTCGCATAACGTTGCCTTATACCCCATGCAGGGGAGTAGCAGCAGCAGCAGCTCCTGACTCTGAATTATTTATGACCTCCGTGTGTTTCTTTCTTTTATCGGCCTAGAATCTCTTACTTTCTAAAAAATATCCAATCCTGTTTTGGGGATTCACTCAATTACCAGCTTCAACAACAGCACACGTGGAATGAATGTTTTCTTCTGACATCAGAGCCACCGATGGGGGTTAACTCCTTAGATTGATTTGTCATTGTGTGTCTCTGTTCATGTGTGCGTTTCTGTCTGCGTGTCCATGTGAATATATGTGAATGTTAATATACATGTGCATGTTCATGTGTTGTGTGTGTATCTATATATGTTCATGTGTATGTATCTGTATGTGTTTCTTTGTTCACATGTGCATGTCTCCGTGTCCATGTGTGTGCACGTGTGTGTGTGCATGTTGATTTAATTCTATGTGTGTACGTGTTCAAGTGTCCAGCAAAAACAACCACCTATCTCCTCACTAGGGCCGGATGGTAATGCTGTGGTGGATGTGAGCAATGCCATCCAGGAAAGGCGAATTCCAAAATCGACAATACCCGTTCATGGTGGTTATAGCCACCATAGCGGCAATACCAGGGCTCTGGACATGTGTGAGGGTCTGGTAAACCCTCCACCTCCAATTCAAATACCACTAAAATACATGTAAAAATCTAACTAAACTTGTGCCGCAGGCCCCGCGGGGACAGGCTTCTGTGACGTCTCCTGGATAAACCCCATTTGGAGTAGCCAAGGGACTGAATCATTACAATTGGGGTTCCTCCAGAGACAGCAAGAAGCCATTGCGAGTGGCCACGTGGAATGTTAGAACGCTCACTGCGGAGGAGAGACTGCCACTCCTCTGTCAGGAGCTGGACTGGTACCGGCTGGATCTCTGCGGCATTCAGCAGGTCCGGTGGACTGGCTCCAGCCACAATGAGGGGTGGATAGTCCTCTACTCGGGGCATAAGACTGCCAAACAATAGGGAGTTCATTTTCTTCTGAACAAAATAATGAAGGGGATATGGGAGCATAGCGGCGAGGTGTGTGAAATTGGAAGACCCAGGCTACTGTGGGCTCGCCTTCCCTTAAATCAAAGGTGAGGTATGGAGGTCGTGGTTATTTATGCCCCCACCGAAGATGAACATAAGTGGAGGGATGCAGGCAAGGACGATGAATCAGATGCCTTTTATGACCTCCTGTCACAGGTGCTAGCTAAAGTGGCCCTTCGAGATATAGTAATCTTGTTGGGTGGCTTTGAGTCCCGAGTGCTTTGGGTGCACTGTCCAAATCTCCCCAGAGACCCTGGCAGACAGAGGAGGTGTTCAGGCTGGCTGAGAAAAAGCGACATGTTCCCTTTCACGGTCTACAGCATACCATGTCAGAGAATGAGGAGGCTTACCGCAGCCTTCTCTCAGAGATTTGGAGATCCATACACAGCTGCAAAGATGGGTGTTGGTCACGGGTTGCTGAGGAGATGGATTCTGCCTCAGTAATACCCGATAAAAAATCACTGTTTAAGCTTCTTCAGTACAGTACTAGGGGCTGATTATGTACAATGTCACAGTATCATGTAGAAGCAATATGGTAGCTTTTATCAATTCCAAACGGAACATAGGGGGGAAGCAGTGCTTGTGTCGATACAGAAAACCAATTAAAATTTTTGTCTTTTACCAATATAATCAATGTGATATTCAAAATTCAGTTTCGAATCCAGGATGACCCCAATATACTTATAGATCTTGACTTGCTCTATTTAATAATAATTTAAGGAATGTAATTGTGCAAAAATAACTTCCTGCTTTAGTCCTGGTGAGAAGCATAGCACCTTGGTTTTGGAGGTATTCCGGACTAGTTTAAGAGCAACTAGCTGATGTATTTTGTTGAAATCACCCTGGAGCTTAGCAATCACGTCATCCGGAGAGCAGCCGGCAGTAATCAGTATCGTGTCATCTGCAAAAAGATTTACTCTGGAATGATCCAGGTCAGTGCCCAAGTCATTTACGTAAACAGAGAACAAGAGGGGCCGAGGATGGAACCCTGTGGAACCCTTTTTGTTATCTTAACACTGTTTGACCTCCAACCATCTGTGCATACAGTTTGGGTGCGAGAAAATAGGTAAATTTTTAACTATTCTACTGCGTGTTTGGAGAAACCGAGGCAACTTAGTTTACTAAGCAGGATGTTGTGGTCTACTGTATCAAAGGCTTTGGAGAAGTCAAGAAAAAAATGGCGCAGTACTGCTCATTATCAAGGCTACTGTAAATGTGATTCAGAGAGTCTAGTGCAGCAGATGTGGTACTGTATTTTTTTCGGAACCCAGATTGTTTTAGATGTCATAGATTGTTGTCGGACAGGAAACTGCTAATTTGGTAGTTTCTAAAATTCTCATCAACGGAGACAAAAATGGGATAAGTCGGTAGTTATTTGGATTATCTTTAGGGCCCCATTTGTGAAGTGGACGAACATCATTAGGGGTATTGTATATATGCCATTTTCAAAAAAGTATATGAAGAATCATATCGCCTATTTTTATGTAATATTTAGCTATTTACATATCTGGATTTAGCGCGTTCTAAAAAAACACAGTAACGGAGGCCTGGGAACTCCTCCCTTGAAACAACAAAGGCAAAATGAGCACCCCCTACTGCTTCGCTAGCGTCCCTAACACAAGGGAGACAGGCATCGTAGAGGTACTTACTCACAAGCCAACATTATGGTATTAAATGTTAGTTTAATGTGCTGTTATATGATGGTGCAGCCCAGGAGCAAAAGGTTTTTACAATGACTATTTGGCATAAATCTTGACTTAAAGCTTTCGTGACTGCAGGAATTCATATTCTTCGGTCTTTCGGTAAAATCACGAAGATAGGTTAAAAAAAAACTACGTCTCGATGAAAACACGAGCAATCGTCATCAGGAGGAGAAAAGAGGGGGAAAGCTGCTAAGGCAGACTGTTTAAAGGGTTTTAAAATGGTGTAGCCCAAGGGTCATAAACGAAGTGGGCAGGGCTAGTGATGTTAATGTGACCGGACAGTGGCCTCCACGACGAGGGCGTGGAGGTGGCTATGTTAATGTGAGATATTAGCATGTTAATGTGAGAGATTATCATGTTAATGGCAGATCGCAGAGCAGCAATGTCGAGCTCGCCGTGCGAGGTGGCTGTATTAGTGTGGGAAATTTAACTTGACCACCAATGTCGAGCTCGACGACGCTAACTGACTGGATAGCTGGCTGACTATCCAGCAGAGATGGCGTCGGACGATGACAAGCATGGCAGCAGCGATGGCTACGACGAGGACGACTTCCACGGCGAGACGACCTTGATTCCCACGGACAGCCACCAAACTCCCTCTCTCGCCCCCCTTTTATCCTTCCAGTGGGATCTGGTCCAAACCTGGCCACGCCCCCCTTCTCGAACCTTCTAGCTGGTTCTGGGAGCTCAAAGATGGATCCCTTCTATGACCTTTGGCCCAGTTCTTCTTCCTTCCATGACCTTTGCCCCAGTTCTTCCTTTTGGGTGAGTACACCCGTAATTGCTGCTCCTGGTCGCCAGTCGGCGCTGCTACACTAAACTTGCATGGACAATGTTGTTGGTGTTCTGATGATTAAAATTTGTGGATGTTATTGGAAGTTGAGATTAAAGTTGCTTAGATTAAAAACAGGTTTCTGTGTGCTTCTTTCCTAATCTTGTGCATCATTGTCGTAATAACAAACTGTATCCTGCGGTGAGATCTGATTCCCGAGACCTGACACAATTGCACATGCAATTTTTAAAGCGAGAACCATTCATGTTAAAGCGAGAAGCGTACATGTTGAAGCTGAGATTCATTGATATTATCACGATTGGTGAAACATACCACGAAGCAACGAGAGAGCCAATAGTACATTTTTATTTAATTATGTTACCTATATTTCATTTAATATTTTTTTAAATCACAATATATACAACAATATATACAACAGCGGTGTCAAGATGGGCCTCTAAGGAGGAGGCTTGTTAAGAATGCTATTGGGCAGTTGTAGGCAGTCGTTCTCCAGCAACAACGGATGGCAGAGGAGAGACGCTCACAACAACACGCGGAGCACTGGGTAGCTCAAACACAAGAAGCTTGCACAGAAGAGGGCACAGGTGGTGCATCGGCCAGTATCTCAGTCAGTCGACCCTTGGCACCTGCTGGGTCTGCCCGGTGACCTCCTGCCAGCGGGCGTTCGACACTTCACGTGGCCTCAACGTGCACATAGCCTGGCGCAAGCGCAGTGGTAACGTCACCGCCACTTAGTGGCGAATGGCGGTTGTTGTTGTGCACGCGCAAGCACGTCTCTGTGTGAAAGTGTCCTTCTTCCATACCTTCGATTATCACGGTTTACTACGTATGGTGCGAAATAAGTTGAACGTGCATTCACACGTGTCACAGCATGGAAAGAGGTGGCGCCAGCTGCTTACAGAGGCCTTCATCCAGCTGTGGATTGTCCCCGGCTGATGGTGATGATGATAGTAGTTGTGGTGAGGGTGAGATACCACACACACGCACGCGCGTGCGTGTGGTTCCAAATCTAGAAATGCAATAAGCGGACAGGGTCACACTAACTCCTTCGCGTGTGTCTGTCTGTGTCTGTCAAAGTGAGTGTGTGGGGGAGCGGTAGTGTAGCAGTTAGCGCTACGTCACACTGCGAACCCGGCGACCCGAGTTCGAATCATGGACATCATCGGTGATTTCGATTATCTAAACTGGTCCTGAGCCTCGGCTAGGTCGACTCAGTCTCAAATGAGTACCTGGTGTGGGACGTAAAATCATCGCTGGTGGGGAGACAAAGGCGACTGGGCGTGGTGCTGACCACCCACCCCCTCGTATGACATGCCGGCCTTCATAGGTGCTCGCTAACAGCGCTTACTCCAACAGTCTGTTACAGGCTATACGGGGGCAGTCACGTGCGGTAAGGCGAGGCAGGGGAGGCAGAGCCTCACCTGTCAAACTACAATGAAAATAGCTTTACTTCAAGTAAAAAAAAGAATAATAAAATAGAATAAATTGGAAGATTTCCCCACTAATCTGTGTCATAAATATAATTTCTGTATGAATCCAATAATTTTTATAGCCAAAATCGCCAAATTTGCCGAGCTCCGTTTCAAATACAGGCAGAGACGAGAGGTGAGGCAGCGACGAGCTCAGCCTCCCCTCTGATTGCGCAATCCCTCAGAAACTGGATGGAGCGCGGGCAATAAGCGCGTGCCTGTTACTATCTCAGTATGTCACCAATGTAATGTTTGTAGACCCCTTCATTACATGTCCTCGCCTTCCATGGTACAGGTAACTTATTTCACGTATGTGTATAAAGATATTTAGGCTCACTGGTATTGTGATCAAACTGTAATGAAAAAGCACCAGGGGAGGCAGCTATCACATCTGCCTCACTGAGGGGGACGTGTCAGAGAAGCCCCCCTCAGTGACGACACGCCCCCTCAGTGACGACACGCCCCCTCAGTGAAGACACGCCCCCTCAGTGACGACACGCCCCCTCAGTGACGACACGCCCCTTCAGTGACGATACGCCCCCTCACTGGCTTTGATACGAGCCAGTGCCTCCGCAGCCATTGACGTCACCGCACGTCACTGCTAAATATCACCACTAAGGGAGACAAAGGCGGTTGGGCGTGGTGCTGCTGGCCACCCACCCCCTCGTGTGCCACAGTGCCGGTTGCCTTCATAGGCGCTGCTACTTCTCGCTACTAACAGCCACTTGCCCCCGGCAGTCTGTTACAGGCTACACGGGGGATCTTTGTCTTTCTTGTTTGTGCGCGCGCGTGTTGACTGTGACGTCACACGTGGGAGGTCTGGGCCAAGTTGGAAATGGAGGAGCACGTGACCCGAGTAACGTTTAAAAGGGGAGACGGGGGAGAGGATTCCAGTGACTCGGTGACCAACGCTGAGCACCGACAACCTGCGGTTAGCAGGACGCTCAGCTGCTACGTACGGTGGAGCGAAAGAAAATTCAACTTACCGTACGTATAAAGACTCACACAGAGACCCATAGACTCATCACACCAGACCCATAGACTCACACAGAGACCCATAGCCTCACACAGAGATCCATAGCCTCACACAGAAACCCATAGATTCCTCACACATAGACCCATATATTACTCACAGGAACCCATAGACTCACAAAAAGACCCATAGCCTCACATAGAGATGAGTCCACTCACACATAGACCCAAACACACACACATAAATCAACAGACTCACACTGGGACCCGTAGACTCACACAAACCCATAGATGTACACAGAGATCCATAGCATCACACAGAAACTCATAGACTCACACGGAGACCCATAGACTCATTACACATACACCCACAGACTCACACGTAGATCCACAGACTCACACTGGGACCCGTAGACTCACACAGACCCATAGATGTACACAGAGATCCATAGCCTCACAAAGAAACCCAAAGACTCACACAGACCCATAGAGGCACACAAAAATTAAAAGACACACAGAGACCCGTAGACTCACATGAAGACGAGTTGACTCACACATAGACCCGCAGACTCACGCAAAGGCCATATACTCCTCACACAGAGACACATAGACTCACAAAATGACCATAGACTCACAAAGGGACCCGTATAATCATATAGACCAACAAACTCATACATAGATCCACAAACTCACACAGGGACTCGTACACGCACACAAAGATCCATAGCCTCACACAGAGATCCATAGACTCATACAAAGATCCATAGCCTCACACAGAAACCCGTAGATTCCTCACATAGAGACCCATATTACTCACAGAGACCCACAGACTCACAATAAGACCCATAAACTCACAAAGAGACCCGTGAACTCACATTGAGACGAGTAGACTCACACAAGGACCCACTGCCTCGCACAGAGACGAGGCGACTTACACATAGACCCGCATTTGTGATGGGCAGGGCGCTTGTGAAAAAAGAGCTACTATATAGCAGCTCATTAATACCTTACTTGGTAAAATAAAATAATAATTCGTGTTTAAATCCATCCTGTGTACCAGGCGAGCTAGTTAACATCTCGCCACTGCTGTCCCCAGATGTCCATCTCGGCCCTGCCGCTGCTGCTGCTGGGGGTGGTGGTGGTGGGAGCCCAGCAGGAGAAGACCATCTGCGCGGGCATCAACGGGATCCCCGGTCAGCCCGGAGCCCCGGGGCAGCACGGGACCCCTGGGGCCCCCGGGAGGGACGGCAGAGACGGTGAGGGGTCGGGTCCCAGAGAATCCCCCACGGTGCGCTCGTGGTGCGACGCGATCACTCACTCGCTCACTCGTTCACTCACTCGTTCACTTGCTCACTCATTTGTTCACTCGTTCACTCACTCACTCATTCACTAACTAATTCACTCACTCATTCACTCACTCAATCGTTCACTCGCCATGTCATGCACTCGATCGTTCACTCACTCATTATCGTAGGAGAGTGTCTCGTGTGGAGTAGAGTGAGATGAGAGGGCAGAGGCAGGAGAGTGCGTGGAGGGGATATGAGTGAGATGAGAGGGGAGAGGTAGGAGAGTGCGTGGAGGGGAGTGAGATGGGTGGGGAGAGGCAAGGAGAGTGCGTGTTGGGAGTTGAGTGAGATGAGAGGGGAGAGGTAGGAGAGTGAGTGGAGGGACGTTGACTGAGATGAGAGTGGAGAGGGATGAGAGTGAGTGGAGGGGAGTAGAGTGAGATGACAGGGCAGAGGCAGGGGAGTGCGTGGAGGGGAGTAGAGTGAGATGAGAGTGGAGAGGCAGGAGAGTGAGTGGAAGCGAGTGGTGTGAATTGAGAGTGGCTTGAGTAGCGGACGAGCCATGCTTTGTTCTTCTCGCAGGCGTTACCGGAGCACCCGGAGCCAAGGGAGACCTCGGGGCTCGAGGCTTGACTGGAGACCCAGGTGGGACTGTGACACTGACTCGTGTGCTCCTAGCAGCTGATTCTATGTATTTATTTTATTACCAAGTAATCCTCACTGAACTATGCGTAGTGGCGTAACGTTCGCAGGGTTTGCAAACAGCAGTTGCATTCATGTACGGGGTTGCAAACAGTGAGGTCAGCTCAGGACGAGCAGGTGCAGGCGGGTGGCCTGGGAGACAGCAGACAGAGAGACGCCAACAATTAGGGAACGAGGCAGTGATTGGCTGGCTGCAAATGCAAACGCGGGGTAGGTGTCAAGGAGGCGAGAGATAGTGAAGATGAGGGTGAGAACACGTGCAAGAGGCGTCCGGAAGACGCTGGCTTAATGAGGGCCACCTGAGGGCACATAATTAGGAGGGAGATATAAGAGGAACTTGTGAAGCAAGTTGGTTGGAGATGAAGCAGTTGGTTGGAGATGAAGCAGTGAACAGTATTCAAGAGAAGTACGGTACCTTGCCCTCCACACCTCGTCCTCCCCAGAGATGATGGCTGATCCCCCGCTGGGGGAAAGGGCGAGACACGCTATCAGTGGAAAGACTAGCGGAAAATCTTTAGTTTGAGTGTGATAGGCTTTAGTGGTGAGAAGCTAGCAGAGTGTACAGAGAGAGTCCGTGACAGCCTAGGAGAGCGGGGAGTAACAGGCTAGCGGAGGAAGAAAGAAAGAGTTTGCGACATGAGTACGTGGTGTTGAACGTGAGGAGCATCCGTGTGAGACGCTGTGAATAAAGTAACTCAGGAGAAAAATACGAAGTTTTTCGCGTTAATAAACACCACGCGACATATGTAACTCTTGTTCAGAAGCGACCTGGCCACACGTAATGATAGCTCGACGAAGTGGACTTATCATCACGTGGACATAAATTCAGATAAATACATGTAAACATGTGGAGGGTGGAAAATCGGAGGACCCAGTGAAAAATCCACACAACAACGGGGAGAGACGCATGCAAACTCCAAATAAACAGCTGGCGTCAGGAATGCGATCGAGCGCACGACCTCCTGTAAACCAGGCTGCATGTGCCACGAAGCGATGTATCACCTCTCCTATACTTTTTTACGTGAAGTTAAAAGACACCAATTGTGCAGGTTTGGCTCACCGTCATCAACATGGGTGCAGAATTGCCCCATCTCTCGGTTTGAGAGTGGGGATAAATATACAAAAATCCCCCGTATAGCCTTATCAGACTGTTGTGGCAAGTGCTGTTAGTGAGCACCGATGAAGGCCGGCATGCCTTTGTCTCCCAAGTGGCGTTGTGCACACATTGCACCAGGTAATCATTTGAGGCTGAGTCGACCTAGGGAAGGAGTCCCAGGACTGGTTCAGATATTCGTCGCTTGTGTTGACCATGAGCGGGAATCGCACTCAGGTCTCTGCTGGGTTCATAGTGCTAACCGCTACACTACTGTGGGTTAACACACGCACATGCACACGCCGTGCGTTTGGACCGTGTTGTCCGACTAGGTCTGCCAGGAAAGCTGGGCCCTCTTGGCCAACCAGGGCTCGCGGGGACTCCGGGAGTCGCAGGTGAGCAGGGCGAAAGAGGCGAGAAAGGCGAGCGGGGAGAGAGCGGCGTGGGGCCCAGGTCGGCCTTCTCTGCGAAGGTCGACACTTACACGCCGGCGGCCGGCTCCCCCGTGACGTTCAACGTCATCATCACCAACCCGCAGGGCCACTACAACCCCGGCACAGGGAAGTTCACCTGCGCCCATCCAGGCGTCTACTATTTCACGCTGTACGCGCACCCCGGTGAAAAGTACATTGTGGTTATGATCATGAAAAACGGGAACATCATCTCTAAGGTGTGCGGTGAGAAATTCAACGCAATAAGTGGCAGCGTCGTGCTGAGTCTCAAAGCCGAGGACGAGGTTTGGCTGGAGTTGGAGGCTCCGCACATTAATTTGTTCTTCAACGTGCACAGAGACTCGGTGTTCAGCGGCTATATCCTGTACTCCGAGTGAATCATTTTGTTTCCATCAGCGCATCAGGCAATACAGATTGGGAACACATTAACACACGCATATGCACCCCTGCCCCCGTGTTAAACAAAGCTTTTGGGCAACATCTCAGAAAAATACCCAACAAACATCTGCAAATATACTCAGCTTGCCCAATGCTGTGGTAATGATTGCAAATTTTCGGATGTGAGATGTTCTCACCAGAGGCAAAATAGGCCCGGCACTTCTTCTCAGCCACCTCCCTCCTTGTGAGTCACGGTGTCTAGGGGATTATGAATCGGTTAGACAATGCGCAGAGACATAGCTGCTTGCACCAACTGAAAAAGTCCTGAAACCTCACAAATTTTCCCATCCGGCATCGGCAGTGAAGGGGGAAATATTCCAATTCCAGCTGATAGCTACGAGAGTTGCTCATTTCTAACATGGGAGAGAGAGGACTTCGGATCTATTTTCTCTCCCGTGCAATTCTCTCAATATTTTTCATCGGAAGGAAACGTAAAGAAGGACAATAACTCGATCTGGAATACTGGGAATTTTAACAAGATTTGTAATGCAGTAACTATGCCTTGGTTCGTTATGCACAAGGACGTGAACCAACTGTGGCAGATAATAATTTTCTTGACAACCAAGTAAAACCAACTCTTCAAACTCTCGGCGACAGTAATAGCACGCGTCTACAGAACCCTGCAGTTCACCGACTTCACGCAGCGACCCCCGTGTCGACAATGACGGAACACCACAGCGACTTACACAGATAGAGACCACCGCGGGGACCATTCACACCAACCCTGACGCAGGCCTCAACTCCTGGGCGACGAGGCAACGTACCAGAAGCCCAGGGTACGCAAATTCACCGTCGAGGTCGACTACAGCGTCAGGGACCCCCCGCCCCAGGACTCAACGGGAGAGCCGTACTCCCAACATGTTACGCAGAATCAACCTCGGTCTTGCATTGCACTCACAACAGCGCTCTTAAGGGATCTATGTAGCAGCAGTTGGGAGCTGGACCGGCACTGCCTGAATCTCTGTGGCATTCAGGAGGTCCGGTGGACCGGCTCTGGCTCCTGCCACCATGAGGGGGGGATGGTCCTCTACTCGGGGCAGGAGACTGCCAAACAAAATGGTGTGGCTCTACTTATGAACAAAATAATGAAGGGGGCGTGGGGCCGTGTCGGTGAGGTGTGGGAAGCTATAAGCCACAGGCTACTTTGTGCTCGCCTTCCCATCAACCAGAGGCAAGGAGTGGTGGTGGTTATTTATGCCCCCACCGAAGACGAACATCCGTGGAGGGATGCAGGCAAGGCCGATGAGTCAGATGCCTTCTATGACCTCCTGTCACAGGTGCTGGCTAAAGTGGCCCCTCGGGATAGAGTCATCTTATTGGGTGACTTCAATGCCTGATGCAGGAACCTGGTCTGGATTTATTGGAAGGCATGGGCCAAATCAGCTCAATAACAACGGCAGGAGGCTGCTAAGCCCACGGGCTTGTAATTACCAACACGCTGTTCCGGCATCGGCGCATCCACACAACATTATGGATGCATGCCTGGTCCAAGCAAGAACATCTGCTGGACTACATAGTGATGGAACAGCGGATGCGAGCCCATGTTCTTGACACCAGGACCTACCGTGGAACTGATCTGCCATCTGACCATCGACTTGTCATCTGTAAGATGCACCTGCCATTCTTCCACTCCGGTGATGGGTGTACACACAGGACACCGATTCCAACTTAAGGTGGCCTGGTCTCATCTAGCTGATGGAAGTTGCCAGCGAGAATTTCATCATCGCTTGCGGCTGGGGTTGGCATCGTCCTCCACTCTTGGTTGACAGAGGAGGTGTTCAGGATGGTTGAGAAAAAGCGACAGGCCCACCCTAATCGTGATCCAATCTCCGACCCCCAGGAACAGGTTTGCAGATTTGCTGAGCATTTCTGTGAGGTCCTGGGGGAGGGCAAATCCCTCGACATGGAAAACATCATGGGACAAAGTGGGGATGACCCTGCTGAGGCTGCGGTGCCTAAAATATTGGAAGAGGTCACCCCTTGTGAGTGGCTGGCTGAGGTACCATCTGTTGACGAAGTACTGAAGGCGGTCCAGAGTCTGAGACCAGAAAAGGCACCGGGCAGAGATGATCTCCCAAGCAAAATGCTGAGGGTGTGTGGCGTTTGTGCGCAGACTGCCCTATGTGACATCATAACAACAGTCTGGACCGCTGGAAGGGTTATGCAGGATTGGATAGATGCCCTGGTGGTCCCCTTCTTTAAGAAGGCCACACAAACTGTAACAACTACAGGGGCATCTCACTCCTCAGTGTGCCGGGTTAGGTCCTGGCAAGGATTATTCAACATTGCCTTGCTCGGCACGCTGAGGAGAGGCTTGCGGAGCCCCAATGCGGTTTCAGGAGTGGACAGTCCTGCACAGATGCCATATTTGCTGTCCATCTGCTACATCAGCGGAGTAGGGGATTCAAACAAGACCTACATGTCTGCTTTATTGAACTAGTCAAGGCCTATAATAACATCAGTAGGCCTGGGCTCTGGGTTGTTCTTCGTTCTTTCGGAGTCCCTGACCCGCTGCTCACTATCATTAAAGACCTTCATGATGATGAACGGGCCCAGGTAAAACTATGTGGCTGGGAGTCAGAGCCATTCCTTGTACACCTTGGGGTGCGACAAGGATGTTCTCTGGTTCTCACATTATTTAACATCTATTTTGACCACGTAGTTCGTAAAGCCTTCAATAGCTGTACTGGAGGAATTTTCATCCTGTACACCCGGCGAGCTAGTTAACATCTCCCCACTGCTGTCCCCAGATGTCCATCTCGGCCCTGCCGCTGCTGCTGCTGCTGGGGGTGGTGGTGGTGGGAGCCCAGCAGGAGAGGACCATCTGCGCGGGCATCAACGGGATCCCCGGTCAGCCCGGAGCCCCGGGGCAGCACGGGACCCCTGGGGCCCCCGGGAGGGACGGCAGAGACGGTGAGGGGTCGGGTCCCAGAGACCCCCCCACGGTGCGCTCGTGGTGCGACGCGATCACTCGCTCGCTCACTCGCTCACTCAATTGTTCACTTGCTCACTCATTTGTTCACTCGTTCACTCACTCATTCACTCACTCAATCGTTCACTCGCCATGTCATTCCCTCGATCGTTCACTCTCTCATTCTCGTAGGAGAGTGTCTCGTGTGGAGTGGAGTGAGATGAGATGGGAGAGGCAGGAGAGTGAGTGGAGGGGAGTAGAGTGAGATGAGAGGGGAGAAGCAGGAGAGTGAGTGGAGGGGAATTGCTGAGATGAGAGAGGAGAGGCAAGATAGTGCGTGGAGGGGAGTGGAGTGAGATGAGAGCGAAAAGGCAGGGGAGTGCGTGGAGGGGAATTGAGTGAGATGAGAGGGGAGAGGCAAGAGAGTGAGTGGAAGGGAGTAGAGTGAGTTGAGAGGGAAAAGGCAGGAGGATGAGTGGAGGGGAGAAGAGTGAGATGAGAGGGGAGAGGCAGGAGAGTGCGTGGAGGAGAGTGGAGTGAGATGAGAGGGGAGAGGCAGGAGAGTGCGGGGAGGGGAGTGGAGTGAGATGAGAGGAGAGAGGCAGGAGAGTGCGTGGAGGGGCGTGAGATGAGAGGAGAGAAGTAGGAGAGTGCGTGGAGGGGAGTGGAGTGAGATGAGAGGGGAGAGGCAGGAGAGTGCGTGGAGTGAGATGAGAGGCAGGAGACTGCGTGGAAGGGAGTAGAGTGAGATGAGAGGTGAGAGGCAGGAGAGTGCGTGGAGGGGAGTGGAGTGAGATGAGAGGGGAGAGACAGGAGAGTGCGTGGAGAGGAGTAGAGTGAGATGAGAGGGGAGAGGTAGGAGAGTGAGTGGAGTGAGATGAGAGACAGGAGAGTGCGTGGAAGGGAGTAGAGTGAGATGAGAGGGTAGAGGCAGGAGAGTGCGTGGAGGGGAGTGAAGTGAGATGAGAGGGGAGAGACAAGAGAGTGCGTGGAGGGGAATGGAGTGAGATGAGAGGGGAGAGGCAGGAGAGTGAGTGGAGGGGAGTAGAGTGAGATGAGAGGGGAGAGACAGGTAAGTGCGTGGAGGGGAATGGAGTGAGATGAGAGGGGAGAGGCAGGAGAGTGCGTGGAGGCGAGTGGTGCGAATGGAGAGTGGCTTGTTGAGCGGACGAGCCATGCTTTGTTCTTCTCGCAGGCGTTACCGGAGCACCCGGAGCCAAGGGAGACCTCGGGGCTCGAGGCTTGACTGGGGACCCAGGTGGGACTGTGACACTGACTCGTGTGCTCCTAGCAGCTGATTCTATATATGTATTTTATTACCAAGTAATTCTCACTGAGCTATGCGTAGTGGCGTAACGTGCGCAGGGTTTGCAAACAGCAGTTGCATTCATGTACGGGGTTACAAACAGTGAGGCCAGCTCAGGACGAGCAGGTGCAGGCGGGTGGCCTAGGAGACAGCAGACAGAGAGACGCCATCAATTAGGGAACGAGGCAGTGATTGGCTGGCTGCAAATGCCAACGCGGTGTAGGTGCCAAGGAGGCGAGAGATAGTGGCGATGAGGGTGAGAACACGTGCAAGAGACGCCATCTTAATGAGGGTCATCTGAGAGCACTTAATGAGGAGGGGGATATAAGGGGAACTTCTGAAGCAACGGGGTTGAGTTGGTTGGAGATGAAGCAGTTGGTTGGAGATGAAGCAGTGAACATATTCAAGAGAAGTCCGGGACCTTTCCCTCCACACCTCGTCCTCCCCAGAGGTGATGGCTGATCCCCCGCTGGGGGCACAGGCGAGACACGCTAGCAGTGGAGAGGCTAGCGGAATCTTGAGTCTGAGTGTGATAGGCTATAGCGGGGTGAGAAGCTAGCAGAGTGTACAGAGAGAGAGTCCGTGACAGGCTAGGAGAGCGGGGAGTAACAGGCTAGCGGAGGAAGAAAGAAAGAGTTCGCTACAGGAGTACCTGGTGTTGAATGTGAGGAGCATCCGTGTGGGATGCTGCGTATAAAGTAACACAGGAGAAAAATACGAAGTTTTCCGCGTGAATAAACACCACACGACATATGATACTCTTGTTCAGAAGCGACCTGGCCACATTTAATGATAGCTCGACGAAGTGGACTTATCATCACGTGGACATATATTCAGCTAAATACATGTCTACATGTGGAGGGTAGAAAATCGGAGAACACAGTGAAAAATCCACACAACAACGGGGAGAGACGCATGCAAACTCCAAATAAACAGCTGGCGTCAGGAATGCGATCGAGCGCACGACCTCCTGTAAACCAGGCTGCATGTGCCACGAAGCGATGTATCACTTCTATACTTTTTTACGTGAAGTTAAAAGACACCAATTGTGCAGGTTTGGCTCACCGTCATCAACATGGATGCAGAATTGCCCCATCTCTCGGTTTGAGAGTGGGGATAAATACACAAAAATCCCTCGTATAGCCTTATCAGACTGTTGTGGCAAGTGCTGTTAGTGAGCACCGATGAAGGCCGGCATGCCTTTGTCTCCCAAGTGGCGTTGTGTACACATTGCACCAGGTAATCATTTGAGGCTGAGTCGACCTAGGGAAGGAGTCCCAGGACTGGTTCAGATATTCGTCGCTTGTGTTGACCATGAGCGGGAATCGAACTCGGGTCTCTGCCTGGTTCATAGCGCTAACTGCCACACTACCGTGGGGTGACACACACACATGCGCATGCCGTGCGTTTGGACCGTGTTGTCCGACTAGGTCTGCCAGGAAAGCTGGGCCCTCTTGGCCAACCGGGGCGCGCGGGGACTCCGGGAGTCGGAGGTGAGCAGGGCGAAAGAGGCGAGAAAGGCGAGCAGGGAGAGAGCGGCGTGGGGCCCAGGTCGGCCTTCTCTGCGAAGGTCGGCGCTTACACGCCGGCGGCCGGCTCCCCCGTGAGGTTCAACGTCATCATCACCAACCCGCAGGGCCATTACAACCCCGGCACGGGGAAGTTCACCTGCGGCCACTCAGGCGTCTACTATTTCACGCTGTACGCGCACCCCGGTGAAGAGCACCTCGTGGTTATGATCATGAAAAACGGGAAGGTCATCTCTAAGATATGTGGTATAAAATACACCGCAATAAGTGGCAGTGTCGTGCTGAGTCTCAAAGCTGGCGACGAGGTGTGGCTGGAGATGGAGGCTCCGTACATTCATTTTCACATTGACGCGCACAGAGACGCCGTGTTCAGCGGCTATATTTTGTACTCCGAGTGAATCGTTTTTGTATCCATCGGCGCGTTTGGGAAAACAGATTGGGAACACATTAACACACACGTGCATGTACACCCCCCCCCACCCCACCACCGTGATATACAAAGCTTTTGGGCAACATCTCAGAAAAATACCCGGCAAAAATCTGCAAATATACTCAGCTTGCCCATTGCTGTGGTAATGACTGTAAATTTTTGGATGTGAGATGTTCTCACCAGAGGCAAAATAGGCCCGACTCTTATTCTCAGCCACCTCTCTCCTTGTCAGCCAGGGTGTCTGGGCGAATATGAATCGGTTAGACAATGCAGAGAGACATAGCCGCTTGCACCAACTGAAAAAGTCCTGAAACCTCACCAATTTCACATCCGGCATCGGCAGTGAAGGGGGAAATATTCCAATTCCAGCTGATAGCTGAGAGTTGCTCATTTCTAACATGGGAGAGAGAGGAGAGGGGATACATTTTCTCTCCCGTGCAATTCTCTCAATATTTTGTATCAGACGGCAACAGAAAGAAGGACGATAACTCGATCTGGAATACTGAGAATCTTAACAAGATTTGGAATGTAGTAACTATGCCTTGGTTCGTTACGCACAAGGACGTAAACCAACTGTGGCGGATAACAATTTATTGACAAGCAAGTACAACCAACTCTTCAAAACTATCGGCAACAATAATAACACGTGTCTACAGAACCCTGCAGTTCACCGACTTCACACAGCGACCCCGCGTGTCGACAATGACGGAACACCGCGTCGACTTACACATGTAATAAAGGACTTCCAGGCGATGTCGTTCAACGTGTCCTTTATTGGGTTCTTGCTCACACCCTGCGAAGTCTCCGCTCCGACCCGCACCTGTTCCTCCTCGCGCCTCCGCGCTCCACGCTGTCTCCCACTCGCTCTCTCTCTGCAGCCACACCGCTGCCTGTGTGCTCCCGCACACTCCGCAGCCGCCCTGCTGCTCCCCGTTACTCCGCACCAACAGCATCCACTCCGCTGCCCCGTGCGCTCTCCGCGTACTCTGCAGTCTCCCCGCTGCTCCACGCGCACCGCTGGCCGACGGTGCCGTGCCTCCACTCTCTCACTATCTCCCCACTCCTCGCCAGCACTCCACGTGGCCTCTCCCTTCTTAATTCCGACTTCCCTCCCGATACCCTTCCGGTTCTCCCCTTATATCCTCCCCCTCACGTGACCCTGACTCCGCCCATCCTCACGTGACCCTGACTCCGCCCATACTCACGTGACCCTGTCTTTGCTCGCATTACACACAGATAGAGACAACCGCGAGGACCTTTCGCACCAACCCTGACGCACGCCTAAATTCCTGGGTGACGAGGCAACGCACCAGAAGCGCAGGGTATGCAAATTCACCGTCGAGGTCGACTACAGCGTTAGGGACCCCCCAGGACTCAACGGTAGGGCCGTTCTCCCAAAATTCAACGCAGAATCAACCTCGGTCTTGCATTGCACTCACAACAGTGCTCTTAAGGGATCTATGTAGCAGCAGTTGGGAGCTGGACCGGTACCGCCTGAATCTCTGTGGCATTCAGGAGGTCCGGTGGACCGGGTCTGGCTCCTGCCACCATGAGGGGTGGATGGTCCTCTACTCGGGGCAGGAGACTGCCAAACAAAACGGTGTGGCTCTTCTTCGGAACAAAAGAATGAAGGGGGCGTGGGACCGTGTCGGTGAGGTGTGGGAAGCTATAAGCCACAGGCTACTTTGTGCTCGCCTTCCCATCAACCAGAGGCAAGGAGTGGTGGTGGTTATTTATGACCCCACCGAAGACGAACATCCGTGGAGGGATGCAGGCAAGGCCAATGAGTCAGATGCCTTCTATGACCTCCTGTCACAAGTGCTGGCGAAAGTGGCCCCTCCGGATAGAGTCATCTTATTGGGTGACTTCAATGCCTGATGCAGGAACCTGGTCTGGATTTATTGGAAGGCATGGGCCAAATCAGCTCAATAACAACGGCAGGAGGCTGCTAGGATGTTGTGCAGCCCACGGGTTTGTAATTACCAACACGCTGTTCCGGCATCGGCGCATCCACACAACATCATGGATGCATGCCTGGTCCAAGCAAGAACATCTGCTGGACTACATAGTGATGGAACAGCGGATGCGAGCCCATGTTCTTGACACCAGGACCTACCGTGGAACTGATCTGCCATCTGACCATCGACTTGTCATCTGTAAGATGCGCCTGCCATTCTTCCACTCCGGTGATAGGTGTACACACAGGACACCCATTCCAACTTAAGGTGGCCTGGTCTCATCTAGCTGATGGAAGTTGCCAGCGAGAATTTCATCATCGCTTGCGGCTGGGGTTGGCATCGTCCTCCACTCTTGGTTGACAGAGGAGGTGTTCAGGATGGTTGAGAAAAAGAGACAGGCCCACCCTAATCGTCTACAGCAGGGGTCCTCAAACTTTTTAAACAGGGGGCCAGTTCACTGTCCCTCAGACCGTTGGAGGGCCGGACTATAGTTAAAAAAAACTATGAACAAATTCCTATGCACACTGCATATATATTAAACTTGCCAGTATTTCAATGGGAACTATGGGCCTGCTTTTGGCTAATGAGATGGTCAATGTCCGGTTCCATATTTGACACTGCTAGTCGTAACAAGTTTATGCAAGTGTGCATCCGTTAGTCTAGATCTGGTTGGAGATTTCAAATGTTTCATTCTGGAAAAAGTCTGTTCACAGACATAAGTGCTGCCAAAGATGGTTGCCATTTTGAGTGCATGGTTCCTGAGATGAGGATATGTCTCAGAGGGGAGAGATGCATAGAAATTATGAAGGCTGCTTGACTTGAATGCGTCTTTCAGAGAGTCACAATTCTGCAGTTCAGCCAGTTCCATTTGGTAAATTGTATCCACATTTTCAATGTCAATAGAAAATGGGTTGCGGAAAAGCTGTATGTCCTGTTCATGGAGATGAAGCTCTTTAAATACAAATTGGAACTCCTTTTGCAATTTTTCCAGTGAATCCACACATGTTTTGTTTGGGAATGCAACCAATGGTTTTTCCGCTAACAGATTTTGAGTTGTAGGGAGATGGCAGAAGTTTTCCTCCTTCACTTGTTTGATGAGGAGGCCTATTCTTACTTCAAATGCTTTGACATGTGATTGCATATCACAGATCAGCTTCCCCTTTCCTTGAAGTTGCACATTGAAACTGTTGAGTAGCTCTGTTACATCTGTCAAAAAGGCAAGGTGCCATTTCCATTCTGCATCATTGAGCTCTGGTACTTCTTTGTTTTTTTAAAGCAGAAAAGCTGTAATCTGTGGAAGCAAGTCATAGAAACGTTTCAAAACTCTCCCTCGACTCAGCCAACGGACTTCTGTGTGATACAGAACATCTTCATAGTCAACATTTAGCTCGGACAGAAATGCCTGAAATTGTCTGTGGTTTAGTGCATGAGCTCTAATGAAGTTAACACAAGATACTACAAATTTCATAACAGAGTCCCACTTCAGTGATTTACTACACAGCGCTTGTTGGTGGATGAGGCAGTGTATGGCTATTGGATGAGAATGGTTATGTTTGTCCATCTCTTGGTTAATGCGAGCAATTACTCCTTTCTTAGACCCCACCATGCTAGGAGCACCATCAGTTGTCACACTGGCTAGTTTAGCTCAGTTCAGCTCCAAATCATTCACAGTTTGGCAAACCTTTTCATAGATATCCTCTCTTCTTGGTTCTTTCGGTAAAGTCACGTAGAAGGGAAGTAATAAAATAATAAAAATAAAACATAATAAAATAATTCTCACGACGTTTCGGCCACAACGCAAGCAGCCGTCCTCTGGTGAAAACCAGGTCTGTCTGGGAGACAGCGTCTGAATGAAACAGCACACGAGCTTGGAGCATATATAAGCTGGGTTGGAAACGGGAGAAAGAGCGCCTTGACAAGAATTTGCATATCAAGAGGAATTTAGCATATTTATGGGAAATGCAGGAATGTTATTAGTACTACATATGCAGCACGGGCTCCAAGCTCGTGTGCCGTTTCATTCAGACGCTGTCTCCCCGACAGACCTGGTTTTCACCTGAGGACGGCTGCTTGCGTTGTGGCCGAAACGTCGTGAGAATTATTTTATTATGTTTTACTTTTATTATTTTATTACTTCCTTTCTATGTGACTTTACCGAAAGAACCAAGAAGATGAATCCCTGCAGTCACGAAAGCTTTAAATCGAAAGATATCCTCTCCTGTAGTTGTTCCTTTGATGCTTTGCAGTGCAGCAAGCTCTTCTGTGACTTCGAAATAGTCATTCGTCGCACGAATAAAAATTTGAAGTTGTGCAGAATCACGAACATCATTGCTTTCGTCGAGTGCCAAGGAAAAATAGGAAAGTTTTTTTGTGGAGTTTTGTAAATGCTGATGCAAATTGTCTCCCATTTCTTCAATCCTCCGTGTAATTGTAGGTCCTAAAAGACTCACTGTGCTAAATAAATCGGCCTTCTCTGGACACATCTCTTTGGCAACAGAAAGAAGGCATTCTTTAACAAATTCTCCCTCCACGAATGGTCTGCCAGTGCATGCTATTAGCTTGGAAACTTGAAAACTTGCTCGCAGTGATGAAATATTTAGCTGCTTCTGCTTCACAAAACTATTTCGTTGAGTTGTTAATGTATTTTTCAGTTTTAATATTTTATCTTTTCTCACTTCTCCGACCAAACAAGCATATTTATCTTTATGTTGAGTTTTATAGTGTTGACGTAAATTGTATTCTTTGAACACAGACACTATATTCTGGCATATCAGACACACAGCTCTTTCCTTGTACTGCTTGAAAAAGTAATCATAAGTCCACTGTTCTTTGAATATCCTACACTCCGAGTCAATTTTTCTCTTTCTTGACATCATTGTTTCCTAGGGAGTCAAAATTGATATTAGTAAAATACCAATATATATACAGCGCTACAAAAACAATATACCAGTAATAACTTTGCCCACACAGAGACATACAGACTGCACTGCCCATCAATGCAGTCTGATTGGGGGAAACTCCGCCCCCTCTCCCTCTTCCACCAATGACCGTCCTTCTCATGCAGAAAAAAAGTAACAGACAGGCAGCGGCGGCAAAAACACCCGGCGGGCCGGATAAATGTCCTTGGCGGGCCGCATGTGGCCCGCGGGCCGTAGTTTGAGGACCCCTGGTCTACAGCATCGCACGTCAGAGAATGAGGAGGCTTACCACAGCCTTCGCTCGGAGTTTCGGAAAACCGTGAGGCGCTGCAAGGATGGGTGGTGGTCGCAGGTTGCTGAGGAGATGGAGTCTGCCTCAATGGCCTTCGACCACAGATCCCCATTTAACTCCATCAAAAAAGAAACCTGCAGCACCACACCTATTACCATCATTAGGGGAAAGAACGGTGATACAATCTCCGACCCCCAGGAACAGGTTTGCAGATTTGCTGAGCATTTATGTGAGGACCTGGTTGAGGGGAAATCCCTCGACATGGAAAACATCATGGGACAAAGTGGGGATGACCCTGCTGAGGCTGCGGTGCCTTAAGAAAGCCACCCCCTGTGGGTGGCTGGCTGAGGTACCATCTGTTGAGGAAGGACTGAAGGCGATCCAGAGTCTGAGACCAGAAAAGGCACCGGGCAGAGATGATCTCCCAAGCAAAATGCTGAGGGTGTGTGGCGTTTGTGCGCAGACTGCCCTATGTGACATCATAACAACAGTCTGGACCACTGGATGGGTTCTGCAGGATTGGATAGATGCCCTGGTGGTACCCTTTTTAAGAAGGGGGACCGCACAAACTGTAACAACTACAGGGGCAAATCACTCCTCAGTGTGCCGGGAAAAGTCCTGGCAAGGATTATTCAACATTGCTTTGCGAGTCACGCTGAGGAGAGGCTTGCGGAGCCCCAATGCGGTTTCAGGAAAGGGCGATCCTGCACAGATGCCATATTTGCTACAGCAGAGGAATATGGAATTCCAACAAGACCTACATCTCTGCTTTCTTGACCTAGTCAAGGCCTATGATACCATCAGTAGGCCTGGGCTTTTGGTTGTTCTTCGTTCTTTCAGAGTCCCTGAC